CCTCCCTGTTCTACAGAGGAGTAGGATGTTACCTTCATGTTCCAACATGAAAGAAAGATAAATCCTTATCATCACCCACAGCATGGTCAAAGCCTTTTCCTAAAGAGGTGGTCAATAAGATTCTCAAAACCAGAACCTAGAATAGATTAGGAATTTACCGGGATGGGTATTCTTCTGTCATGGAATGCAGCGTCTGAGACAATAAACACATCTCCTATGGAAGCACCTTTTGCCTGGAAAAGTATTATAATCAATAACAAATACACACAGGAAAAAATATCATATGGACAACATCTTTTGAACAACTAGAAGGCTATTATCAGACGGACCGGGGTCAGAGTTTCAAAGACAAAGCCGATATAACTTCACCTTAAATCCGCCGGCTGTTCCAGCATTTATTATTAGGTCTGGCTGTAATGCTTGGATAGAAGCATATGTCACAAGAGATGCAGAAACGGTGCCTACACAGTCTACCCCTGACAAAAATGATTGTTCACAGAATTGGTATTAGAAAATGCATGACAAAACAGCTCAACAGCAACTGCATATAAGTAGAGATTAAGATAAGTGTGAGGACTCTGTATTCCTATAGATCTGGCATGATTTGTTTTTAACATCACATTTTATATTGTTCAGGCTTCAGATTGGTTGGTTTGAAATAACATTATTTATGGTCCCTATGCAAGTGACACCTCACACCAGAGACAATAATCTACATTCTGGAACCAACCTTCAGTTAAAAGTCATGTTTACATGAACCTTTTCATTGACGAGCTCCCTATATCACCACTACCAACACTAAATAATATATGTGCCCCTTGTAATTTTGCCAACATTCCTTTTTGGTGTCCCCAAAAGTTTGTTGATCATATTCCCATTAAATAATTAATTAATTTGTGGTTCTTATTTTTTTCTCTTCACTGCACAAACAACCACACAGTTTTACTTCGTTATTTCACATGTCGCTATGTCGGTTAAACTTGGCAAAGTTATAAGGCACCGATGAAGTAAGAAAGATTGATTTTCAAACTTTTGTTATACAACTGTTCCATAGCCTATTGTCACAGATGGCTTGTTAGCTCATTTTGGCTCAATAATATGATTGAAATGTCAGGAAATGAAAAGAAAGTTACTACATAGGCAATGTCAATGTGTGATTTTCTGAAATGTCAGTAAATGAAATGTCACAGGCATGCTTTATGGCTTTGAGACTGAATACAACTTTTTGAATAAGGATTAGTTATCTTCCAAATGCAGTGTAGGTTCCATAGTTATATGGCAGATAAACTTATGCAACAAAATTACATATTGAGAAAAAGACTACCCACCCAGAATGGGGTCTTTTCCAGGGCAGACTACACTAATGTTCAGATCTTTATAGTTTCCATAGTAACGCATCCAAGGTACCCCCTTTGGGAACCTGCAATATTTACAGGAATGGAAGAGGGAAAAGGGAACATTCTTTAGGCTAGCAGACATTTTTTCCCGGATTCAGTGGAATACTGGACAAGATAAAGATATGCGTGGTAACGTGGACAATAAAACATGCGGCATCATTAATTCAACTTTCCTAATTTAACACGCACAGTTAGATTAGTGGAGTACTTCACAAATCTAACACACGGTTGTTAGCTAGCAGAATACTGCGAGAAAAGAAAATGTACATGGAATCGACATCCTCGGCGAGTTGGAACCTGTCCACGAGAGGTTGTGCCTCCTTATTCATAGCTGCACCATTCGATCCACAATCAGTCTCCAATCAAACGCTAATAAGTAATAACAGTCTCATTGTACAACTGCATACGCACAGGCGAAATTCGTGGAGATGAGGTATTACCAATGACGAAGACGATGGTCAAGATACGGTTGTTATCGCCCGGCGACGCGGCGGCGAGATCAGCCTTGGTTTCTCGAAACTCGTGCTCAGAAGGCGCCATTTATTTGCGATTCTTGCGGGCTGCGTGAAGCCACGAAGTACCTGAACATATATTAGGGTCTGTTTGCAACAACTTTTGCTTTTAAAAAAGTGCTTTTTTTAATGAAATGGGGAGAAGTGATTAAATAAAAGTTGATAGTGTTTGAGAAAAAAGTGATTTTGAAAAGTAAAAGTGGGTAGTGTTTGGTAAAATAAGTGCTTTTTGTGTAATAGAAAAAGTAAAAGCACTTTTGACGCGGAAGCCGAGAAAAATAAAAGTTGCAGTGTTTGGGAAAATAAGTGCTTTTTTAAAGCCAAAAGCTGAGAAGTGCTTTTTTAAAAGCAGTTGCAAACCAACCCTTAGTACCATAGTATCATTGTTTTTCTTTTTTGATCATTAAAACGGTTTCCATTACTATAGACCAAAACAAATAAGACAAAATTCAAACAGATGTTACAGACCCGATGGTAAGTCCTCGAATTTTTGTTCAAAATAATATCTCATATTTTTGTAACATATATCATACTACACATATACGTATTCACACGTTTTTAAAGGTCAACTTATTTTTTAACGAATTTTTGGCCGTCTTTTTCATTCTTGTTACCGAATAAAACGCGTAGGTATTAAACCTCTTTTAATTCTCGTACTGTATTTAACTAACTATGCCGCACAGGCCGCACCTTGCCTCGCCAGCCATGTCGTGCCTCGCCTCGCCTACCTCACCGCATAGGCCTCGCCTTGAATGGAGGGATTATCAAGTCTGAAATGGTGACTAGATCTAGGGAGGGCGGCGGCCGGTGGTGGGGGCTTGGATGGACTGACAGAGGTGGGACTGGGAAGGGATGGACCATGGTTGGGCCTGATCGAAGCTGGAGTTAGAGAGTGGGATGGGGTGGGATAGGGGCAGGGCAGCTCTGTTGGAGGTGAGGCTAGCGAGGGATGGGGGACTGGACTGTTCAGAGCTATAATTGGGGTGTGGGAGAGGGGGGGGGGGGGGCTGTGGATGGGTCAGGGGCTGGTGGCGAGGACACTAGTGGAAAATAGACATTTAATGTCGGTTAAAATCGACATTTAATGTCGGTTATGAACTGATATAGAAGCTGGCCACATAGAAAGTCTAGTAGATTTCCTATCGGTTAGCTGAACCGACATAGAAAGTCCGGTATAATTCCTATCAGGTTGTTACACCCCACATCAAAAATATCTTATACGGAGTATCAGTTATCAAACAACCGTTACAGAAAATATTTTTTTTTGAAAAAAATAATTAAAAGCATTCTATATGTTTACTTTCCGTAAACGAGCAAACAAATACACCTTTTGATATCGAAGGTTCATAAGGATCAACTTTGACTTGTTTTCTCATTGAGAGCTACAAAAATTCCAAATATTGTACTATTAAACAAAAACTCTTCATCAACTTGAAGTTTCTCATAACTAAAGCACGAAAGGGCACCCTACAGCCTCCTTCCCCTTTTACCACTTTTATGAAGAGTGTGATCAGTTGGAAATTTGGAATCAAAGTAACGCCCTCTGTATGTGGCCGATTCTCATCCAGACCGAATAAGGGCTCTAAGAGCAAATTGGGCATCTTGATTTGGAGTGTTCTGTCTTGATACTTCTGGTAGCCCTAAGCTTAAAAGCGGTTATTCCAATTCCGAGACACAACCTGGGTTGCCAGCATAGCTATGTGGGGAGAAGATTCATCTCTGTCAGCCTTTGCTTTCATGCCACCAGTAATGCAGACCAACTGTGGCGGCCGAGCAGTGGCGGGGTTGCGGGCAGCAGATTTGTTTGATAATTGTATACAGGGGTGGAGCCAAGGGGGTCAGGGTGGTCAGTCGACCCCGCTGAAAGTTCAAGAATGTAGAGCTCTGAAATACCTTCGATTTGATATATTATGAGTCCCGTAACTCATTACAAGTAAAAAGTTATGACTTCTGGAAAAATCAGTGCCATTTTAACTCAAAATAAGCAAAATTTTATGTGTGACGTTGATTATATTCTTAAATTTAAAAATAAAACAGCTTATTCAGTCATTAGTTGTGTGAACATTATGATACATTACATATATATCATTACATTAACCGATAAATGCTCATTAAATTACCATTTACCGCAGTTACATATGAAACATTTAACTTAAGTATTGTATAATAACCATCCATCACTTTGATACTGTATATGATTAAATTTCGACCCCCTCACACATTTTTCTGGCTCCGCGCCCGGATTGTATAGTAACTGTAGTTGACTAAAGTCATTATAGCAGTGTCACCATGGCAGTGTCATTGTGGGGGTGTCACTGCGTCCGGCGGTTGTGACCGACGGCTGTGGTGGCAGTGACATGGGTGATGGCGGTAGCAGTGACATAGAATGACGTCAATGTCATCCGATAGTAACCTGAATATTTGGTAGACACTTTGTATTTTTCCAAATGTTTAACCATCTTAGTCACAAATTTGTCCAAATGTAAATGTGGTCACAAAAGTGGAAATCCACTTTACTTTAGTAATATTCAACGAACAAACCCAATGGAATACATAGACATATAAAATAAATAAAACAATAAGAAGATGAGAAATTGAAAGAAAGTATCGGGATGATAAAAAAGACGAGAAAATTTATAGTGGGAGAAAGAAACTTCTAACGAGAAAAATCAGGACCTCATCGAGCGGCACTGTGACATTGATCTGCGCCTGCTTCATCAACTCCAACGACCTCGGCGAGCACCACCCTAACATTGATCAACACCTCCTTCATCAACTTCCAGAACCTCAGGGAGCAACACCTGACACCACCGAATCAATCCTCAATTCCCTTTCAATCCAACAGCTCAAGCGCAACGAGAAAGAAAAGACTATGAGGGTGTTTTAAACAGAAGCAGAATTCAGTTTTCAGAAACTGATCTCTCCCAACTTCTAAAAAACTGTTTCCAGGAATAAATTAGAGCATTAAAAGTATTTCTATACTTTCACTCAAACACTAACTTCTGTTTCTTTCACTCAAACTAACTACTTGTAAGATTAGGTTCCGAACACCCCTATATTACCTTTATCCGCCAGATATACAGTACTTCGTATAATTTGCGGTGCTCACAATACGAACTCCTAACGTCCTTGTCCACGATGGCATATCCAGTTATCCACTTTCATTGGCTCTCATGAACAAAAAAACGCCCACTCTTCGGACATCCATCCATCCTCACTCCCAGCAACTTCCAAACCTTCATGGAGACTGCCTTCCCTTCCAAAGCTAGAACACTCTCTCAGGTCTCTTTCTCTGCTGTTGGCCCTCCTACCTTTTATTCCCATCGCGTCCGCTTTCTCGGCAGGGGATATCATTTCGGCTCCAGCTTCAGCTTGAGGCCACCGGGACTTCGTTCTCGTCGCAGATGCCGGAAGCTAATTGGAATCAAGTTCCGCACTCATTCTTCCAGATCACTTCCTGTAGCGCATCTAAGCTCAGCTACGGTTGTCGTCTTAGCCTCATCCATCGTAATCTCAGCTCTTACGATTGTGTTTGTACTAGTGTCCAGAAAGAGCACCAAGGCCAACCAAGTATGTCAATTTTTGCAGAATAATTAATTAATTTTTCTCTGCATGGACAATTTTTATGACACAAGATTCTAAGAAAATGCGCCTATAACTAGATTTCTAAACGCAAATAAATAAATAACTCAAAATTGACTAAAAATTAAACATGCTCTCTGGTTGCCAAAAAATTAAACATGCCCTCTAACATCCGAGAATTTGCATTTGGAGACAAAATTTTATTGGATGCAAAATAGTACAAATATATTATAGGCACATTGAGTACTGCAAGTTTGCAAAGATCAAACAACAATAAAATCATGAAAAAACAGTAACTCACTTTTGTGTGTTTGTATTGCTTGTAGCCGCGTTAGGAACTTTGCTTTACACTACTTTACTTTTTTTTCCTATCAGTTTATCTACAATAAACTTTTTACTATGTTCAATTGCATGTTTCAGCAGACCAAAGCTCAAATTCTGCATCAGGTTTACATTTTTTAGGGCAGTCATTCATAGTAGTAAGACTACATTCTTTTAAATGGTATATAAGTGGTGCCCTAGGCCCATGCCTAGGCTCACAGGGCCTAAAGCCGGCTCTTGCAGCTAGTCAACATGAAGAAACTGCCGCCCATGAACTCATGAGGTGTCCATTTTAGGAGGAATTGTGGACATTAAATTTTTATTGCCATCTTTTCTGTGTTTTTGGCATGTAACTTTTTAGATTTCCCCTCATTTCATAGGCACTGAATGAGCTAGCAGTGGCATTCAATCATCAAATAAGAAATAAAGTGAGGGTAGTTGTGGATAGATTTTTTCATCCTACAGCCAAATGGAAAGATAAAGCTAATGGCAGTTCATCAAGGAGAATGGCAGAAGCCAGTCATGCTGAGCACAGGATTATGGAGGGGATGATGCAAACCAGTCAGAATGGTTTGATGAGAAGTACTGTTAACAAAGTTGAATGCCCACATCCCAATACAACAACTTCTAGAGTGGTGGATTCTCCGGTCTCATTAGCATCTGAAGATGCTAGCTCATCGTCCAAAAAAGATGAATTTCTAACTACTTCCGAGGCAGAGTCAGAAGCACATGAACTTTACACGGTGGAAAGTCTACAAGAAAGTAAGATTACTACCGATTTGCCCAAGGCTGTACTCAGTTCCGGCTCTGGTGTTTCATTGACTGCTGCAAATACTTTAACAGAAAAAGTTGATGATATCCTGCAACAAAGACATCAACCAATTGCTGGAAGCAAAATGATTACTCACAGCATTTTCTTCAGAGAACCTGAACGGAAAGAGCTCTACAGATTCTATGAGGCATCTGCTGAAAATCAGCAAGGTATAGTAACTTTGTCTTCTTGTTCATCCCCTCAGGAGAACTTACTTTTTATCTTTTTTTTAAAGGTTTGTCACTTTGTTCAGTAGAAGGCTCCTAACCACATCTTCAGCCTGCACGTTATGCCATTCAAATTCTAGGGTGTCCTCATTTTATTATAGCTCATGCTTTTCTGTCATAACCTCCCTTCTGAGTTTTCTGCTACCATCATATTTCTCTTGCTCTTGCATATTTGATGATTATTCTTTATTATGATATGGTTACTCGAGTCACTGTCCTTCTCCCTAGAATTTATAATGTGAAAGCGTCCCATGGAAATTACACAGGAGATGAATTTGGAGAAAGGGTATTGGGAAAAAGCAAAAATATTTCGAATGCGAAGGGAATCAGCATTATACAATCAAAGTGCTCCAGAAAAGCCTCCAGGTCTCCTGGTCCAAAAGGGAAGAACACGTCTAACATACATCATATATCAGAGCAAGTCGATGCTTATCATCACTTCTTGAGGAGTGGAAGGTACATAACGGCTGGTGTGTTACTTTAAGAGACAACTCATGTTAGTGACCTTAAATTCTGAAAAGCATTTTAATAAAGCAAAAAAGTTTAGTGCTTATTGCAGACTTGGAGTAAGAAAATTTTCCACTTTTGGTCCATGGCTGTTTCATCATTCTACTATTAGTTTCAGACTTTTTTTCACTCTTGGTGCAAGACTATGGATTTCATTTACTTTTGATTCTTCCAATTACTTATCCTACCAAATTTTTTAGTATAATTTTGTGGTTTTGAAAAGTTAAGTGACCTGAAGGACCGAAAGTGGCAAGATATCTATAGTTGTGCACCCAAAGAGGAAAATAAGAGTCGTGAACCAAAAGTGGCAACGTCCTAATAGTTGTGAGATAAATGATGGAAATTTCCTGCACATATTGTTGGAATGTATATTAGTTACATTTTCGGTGCAGTTTTGGAAAAAGAGGATTGTAAATTCTGAAGAGGAGTGTTATGAAACCAATTGACTTTTGACATTCTCTCAAGTGTTGTATACATCCTAGAATCAATTAAATCTAATCAATAAATCTGCACAACCAACAGAAACAGGCTGGATAGCTATAAACTTGTGTTGCAGTTTGGGAAGTAGCCTCAGTATATGTACATCAGTTTTACATGTTGAATATTTTGGGCTTTTAAATTGCAATTCCATTTGTAGTGTTAAACAACAAAAAATAAATAAATACGAGTCTAGACTACTAATAAACTAATATAATGCTTAAACATGTGGCTTTGACATACTACTCTATTTATATTGTTCTAGATTGACAGACTGTTTACGGATTCTTGAAGACATGGATAATGATGGTTTATTAAATACAGACAAAGTAAGCATATGCCACAACTATTGGCAGTATTATATTTAACAATTGACTACTTATTAATAATTGAGCATTTCTCTCTCAGGTTTACCATGCAGGGTTTTTCCAAGCATGTAGAAATGAAAAAGCTGTTAGCGAAGCTTTTCGTTTCACAAAGCTTATCCACAACCCAACATTAAGCACATTTAACTTGCTTTTGTCAGTTTGCGCAAGCTGTCAGGATCTGGAAGGTAATTCTTATCTTTCTGCCTATCTGATAAAGCTGACCAGTAATAGTGCGTATTACTTTTCAGCATATTTATGGGCTGTACGTGACTTTCTAGGGGCTTTTCGAGTTCTTCAACTTGTCAAGGAGGCTGGATTGAATGCTGACTGCAAACTCTATACCACCCTTATATCTACTTGTGCTAAAATTGGAAAAATCAACACAATGTTTGAGGTAAATGTGCAATTTTGTTCTCTACAGATTCTCAATGGAATTCTTGTTAAGTGTCTTTACATATGAGGCCAAAAGGTTTGTAGACACTAGTAGCATTGAATCATAATTTAATCTGTTGAATTTGCCAATGTGATAAGTGTTCAAGTGAACTCCAAATGTCAAATTTTTATGTTACTTGTGCTTGTCTTATGATCATCATGTTTCCTGCTGATATCCTGCAAAGTTATAGGTTTTCAACAAAATGGTTGATGCTGGAGTTGAACCAAATGTCCACACATTTGGTGCACTTATTGATGGTTGTGCTAAAGCTGGGCAAGTCTCCAAGGCTTTTAGTGCTTATGAAACCATGTTATCTATGGTATGACTATTAGTGTCAATATAATATGAATTTTTTAAAAACAAGTATACAATACTCCATATCTTTTTCCATGTAGTAGGACCTCTATAAATGTTTAATCTCCACGGTGGATTGTATGCAGTAGCATGTTAAGCCAGACCGTGTTGTGTTTAATTCCCTTATCACGGCATGTGGTCAATCTGGAGAAGCAAACCAGGCTTTTGATGTTCTAGCAAAAATGAGAGAGGGAACACATCCTATAGACCCTGATCATATTACCATTGGGGCTTTGCTGAAGGCTTGTCTAAATACCGGACAGGTGTGTTTCATGCATCTTTGTACAACCAAATATCAATATCATAAATGGTGTCTATTATCTTTCTATCTACATAATACTATAGTAGTACTTTTTTCAATTTCACCTTAAGTTGGTATTATATCACAATCAGAGCAAATTAAGCTTCAACGAGCAATTAAATTCTGATAAGTCTCAAAATGAGACTACAAGATTGGTATGCTCCAACGAGCAACCATTTTGAGGGGTTGTATTAAATTCTACCCCACACGAGTTTCATTCAAAACACAAACCAGCATATAAAACATTGGATTCCTCCTTCTACTAGGTTGACCTTTTAATATGTGAGACCGATTGCAGTTCTTTTTAGCAAAACTTGTAATTTTTTTCTTTAGAGTATTGCAAAAATTCGCTTAAAGTATTACCGTTCCGCCGTGAGACGGTCTCACGGGAGACCAACTCTCATTAATATATTTTTTTTCTGTTTAGGATGATCGAGTAAGAGATGTTTACAATTTGATTCATGAATATAACATCAAGGGTGGTGCAGAATTGTACACAATTGCTGTCAATAGTTTCAGTGAAAAAGGTGATTGGGAGCTCACGTGCAGCATCTTCAATGATATGGACAAGAAAGGCATCGCCCCTGATGAGGTAATCCTTCAGATGTGCAATTACAACTTGCAGTTGGACTGTACAGTGATAGTTGACAATGTTGTTTGAGGTGTGTTAGGCATGATGCTATGTTTACTGATAGGAAGAATATCGTTGTGTGAGACTTGGACCCGGCTTCTATTTATCTAGGTCGCAGTAGGAAAAGGCATTGGGTGTACTCTCTTACCACAAAAGATGAACTGATATATCATCATGCATTACTAGTGTTACAATGTTGCAAACAACTATTTAGTGATTTGTGCAAACGGTATACATAAAATAGGAATTAACGAGATTGAAGGCAAAAATTGGTGCCACTATGGGCTGCCTTTAAAGTTTGAGGTAGTGTTCTTAAAAGTGGTAGGTGTCCTTTAGACGGTAGACTGAGGTCTAATGCCGAGACCTGCTAGATGGGGCCAAAATAAGAAAACACGGGCCTTGGTGAAGCTAGTCAGGGATTTTTGGAAATTGGCTCGAGGACAAGCTTGATGTCCCGAGGGGAGTGTGCAATATGTGAATTTAGAGCACTTTTACGAGAATCATTGGAATGAATCAATCAATTATAAATATCATTAATTGATTGCCTCTTGATTGTTTCATATTTGAATTTTGATTTAGCTTTATTTAGAAGAGTTGTTAAGTTTGATAGAGTTACCTTATTGGTCATCCTTTCCATTTATAGTTTACTGTTTGCAATTTGCAACTCCTATATGATGTAGGCCCCTTTTACAAATCGGGCATCAGGGCATGAAAAATGAATCTAAGGCAAAGGAAGACTCCTTTAAATCACCAAACCTATTGTTGTGATTTCGTTCACATTCAATCTGGTCATTGCAGCCTTGTCCATCATACCATTAGTAGGAAATATCACTTCAAACCCTAAACAACCGATCTAGACATTTCATATCTGTTCATCTTCTCCACACATGTCAAATGCTAATGAATTCGGGCCGAATTCCTCTAGTTCGAATACCATATCAGTTCATCCCTGTCTACCGAGAAAAATGATGGAAGGGAGATAACCTTAGGTTATATATATTAATACAACAACAACATCCAAGCCTTATCCCAAAAGATTTTGGGGTCAGCTAACATGAATCGATTCATGATATCAGAGCCAAAAAGAGTAGAAACATACAAACAACAACATTACCCCAACGACATTACCCCAACGCCACAAAGACTCCCACCAATGGTGGGGTAAAGGGGGGTCCTCCAATCCCACTTGTGGTGCATAGGCACTTACCACAAACATGATCTCATCTCAAATTATCAATTTAGTGCTTATGATGCGGCCGTTCTTCCTAAAGACTTCCACCACACCCTCAACGTAATCACACGCCTAGTCCATTTTTTGTCATCTCTCTCCCCGAATACCACAACTTAAAACCTCTGCGATTAATCTCACGTGCCTTTTCTCCAACTCACTTAGTTTCGTGCAGGCACATAATGACGATATATCTCCTCCTCATAACTTCAACTACCTTAGATACTTTTCCAGTAAGAGATCCAACATCCACGTTCCAAAACGCAATCTAATACCCTGCCTTTTCTTCTTCACACCACATCAACCCCCACCATGCCCTTGCATATTTCACACCATCCCCGAACATTGAGGTAACGCGTCGCTTTCGAGCAATGACCTAACAGCCTTAGCATTCTTATCACAACACACATGTCTATGAGGTGTAGCGCACTCTTGTATATTTGACACCACCCTAGGCGGAGGGATGACACGTCATTTACGGGCGACAACCTAGCTGTAGCCTTTTTTCATATTTCAATTCATGTCATGTGATGTAACTAAGTGATACTATTGGCCGTCACACGCCTACCACATCACCCTCCTTTATCCTTGCTTGGTACATGTATGATACCAAAATGATCTCATGGCATCGGAGTTAGATTATACTACCTCCATTCTTAAATAAATGCAACATGTTGAATTTTGCACTATTCACATGTTCTAATTTGACTATGTTTTATTTATTAATGCATTAATATACGAGTAAAAAAATATTGTTAAATTTGTCTCATTGTAAATTTTCTTTTTAAATTTTTTTAGTAATAAAGTATTATACGAAGTATATATTAATGGTCAAAGTTGTGCATTGACAAATGTGAAAAAGTTGACCGTTGCATTTATGTAAGAACGGAGGAAGTATATATTAATACTGTATAGTAATGTATGGTATAAGAAAATTACTTCATATTTGAATTTGTAAAGGAGGGCAATTATATTCTTGGATACGTATCAATCAGCTCCCTTAGGTACTAAAATCCAGCTAATTGGCTTGTCTTTCCTTTTTTTTGTTTTAAATATTACTTAAGGTCCTCCATTGAACATGATATGTTCTACTTTGTCAAGACTTCAAAAATTTATTTAAGGTTTTATCATCATCTTGAGTTCTATTGGTTCTGTAGTTTCATGAGTCGATGATTAGCATAGATATAATGTCATTACTAGACTTTTATAGATGTATATCCTAGTATTATCATACACACACATATAGGGAGCGGTTCCGGTAAGAACGGATTCCTAGGAGAGAAATGAGAATGAATCTGGACCGTTGAATTGTATTATATGGAACTAAATTGTGCATTTGGTGAAACTGAAATGTGCATTAGATGATATTGAAATGTGTAGAATAAAAATTTAAACTCAAGTGTGCATTAGGTGAAACTGAAATGTGTGGAATAAAGGTACAAAAATAACATCACACCGTACCTTTTATCATGCACATTTCAGTTTCACCTAGTGCACATTTCAATTTCATCTAATGCACAATTCAGCTTCGTATAATGTCACTGTATCGTACCCTTTATGCTGCACATTTCAATTTCACCTAATGCACATTACAGTTTCATCTAATGCGCATTGAATTCACTTAAAGCAAATCTAACGGTCCATATTTATTCTCATTTCTCTCCTAAGATCATGTTCTTATTTGAACCAAAAGTCCAAAATACACACACACACACACACATATATATAGAATTCAGGATTGTGTTAGACTGTTAGATTTACTCAACTAGCCAACTTGGCCATAAGACTCTTGGGCCAAACACGCTAAAGTTTGAATCTAATGTATTAGGTAGTTCAACTTAGGGCCTTATTAACCATCTTGGTCTCTCTATTTTTCTGAAGTAAGATTTTCCAATGTGGGACTCTACACCCCCTTTAGTGGATAGCTGAGCCATTATGGATCCAACTGGTAGTTCACTTGTATATTGAACTCCCATCTCTCATGAAACTGAAACTCAAAATGCAGCAGTAACACTTGAATGACCATGGGCTGGTGGGATTGGACTTCCAGACGGAGAACCGAGTTAGATGGGTCACACGCTGCAGGGGCTTGAATTCAAGGAGGAAAATCAAGCAAAACCATACTATAACATTAAATCCGATCTGTTAGTTAGTTAACTCAATCTTATTGACCCATCATTGCCTCTATTAATTGTATATTTGTATGTAAGACTAACATTCCATCTTAAAAGGTGTCCCTCATAGGAGGAACTCAAGGTTTTATATGTTGGTTTGTATCTTTACACGTGGCTAGCATGGGATTACTTAAAATGTATACTTTTTTCGCTAAATCAAAACACTCCATTTTCCTGTTCAACTGCTGACGAACTCCTGGTTAATGAGTTCCCTATGCTTTTGCACTATAGGCTGTCACTTTATATATTATAAAACCAATAAGTAGATGTTCAATATAACTTAAAAAAATATGTCTGACTCAAGCTTCTTGTACACAGCTGTTCATCAGTGCAATGGTAGATGCTGCTGGGCATGCCGGTAAACTTGATGCTGCATTTGAACTATTAAAAGAAGCCAGAAATAATGGAGTTTACACTGGAACCATTTCATATAGCTCATTGATGGGAGCATGCTGTAATGTATATATGTAGAGCATCCTTCTGTCTTCTTTGAGATTAAAAGCTTTGTATTTTTATTCCATGGCTCTATTTCATTTTCAAGTTTTGAATTGCATTGTAATATCTAGGAGTATAACTAGCAAAATTATCTTGTTAAAATAGAAGAAAGCCAGAACAGAAAAAAGTAAAAACGCTTTTTCTTCACGAAACCATTTTCAAAATAATTGCAGCTGACAGTAAGTCAGAACTCTCTCTCTTTCGTGTTTGCAATAAATGTTACAAATATCAATGTCGATTGCAGACAAAAAACTGGCAGAAGGCCTTGCAGTTGTACGATGAAATCAAAGACATGAAGTTGAAGCGAACTGTTCCAATGATGAATGCCCTGATAACTGCATTATGTATGTCTGCGGCTCTCTTTTTATCAATTTTTATGGACATATGGGAAATGCTAGAACTCGTTCATGTAATTTTGAAGCTAGAGCAGTGTGTTATATTGAAACATTAGTATGTTAGGCTGATCAGAAGGAAATTTCATTTAGGTGATGCAGAAAAATTACAGGAAGCTGTGGATGTTTTATTTGAAATGAAGAGAGAAGGCCTACTCCCGAACAGCATAACATACTCCGTACTGTTGGTGGCCAGTGAAATGTAATTCCTGGATCCTTTGAATATACAATAATACAATTATACAATATTATACAAATACTGTACTATATAAAGTACACACACAAAAAACAAACACATGCGTGCAGGTATGTATGTATATACGTATGTAAACATGATTTTTTTATGTGTGTATCAGTCCACGTATGCAAGCATGTGCTCTTTTAGGTTTTCAAACAGCTACCAATCATTGTGTTTTTTAATCATGAAAGGTCGGATGACCTGGATACTGGCCTCATGCTTTTGTCTGAGGCAAAAAAAGACGGTGTTGCACCTAACCTAGTAATGTACAGTTGCCTGATGGGTAAGATCTGTTGACTTTTAAGTGAACTTATTTTGTTGTTGGATATGATGATTTTATTCTTGCTCTGACATATCTGACTATCTAAGTCTGATACTCTGATTCCTTACATTTATTTTGAATTCAGATCCATTACTCTTTCAATCCTTACATGTGTTTTGAATTCAGATCCATTACTTTTTCTTAAACAAATCCCTTGATAAGGAACATGACTAGCTAGCTATAGATAACATTTCGTGGATTCCCATGCAAGTTCAACTCTTACATGCCTTGATATATCCGTGCCCTAACGTAACAACATTATACAATAGCTAAAAGAGAAATATAATATTTAATTGACTATCTCAATGATTAAATTATACCTATATTTATAAATAAGGTCACTTAATGCCTTGAAATATAACATTTTGTGGATTCCCAAAACCTGCAATTGCTGAAAACCATGCAAGTTTAACTCTTACATGCCTTGATATACATTATATCCGAGCCCTAACGTATCAACATTATACAATAGCTAAAAGAGAAATATAATATATAATTGACTATCTCAATGATTAAATTATACCTATATTTATAAATAAGGTGACTTAATGATAACATTTGTGGATTCCCAAAACCTGCAATTGCTGAAAACCATGCAAGTTTAACTCTTACATGCCTTGATATATCTGTGCCCTAACGTAACAACATTATACAATAACTAAAAGAGAAATATAATATTTAATTGACTATCTCAATGAATAAATTATACCTATATTTATAAATAAGGTCACTTAATTACAAGTACACATGTGGTGAGAAATCTTTTTTAATGGTTCCTCTTAGGCATATATATTATCATATTAATTATGCTCATGTGGTTCCAAACTCCAAAACTCGTATTAGGGTCATGAAGATATTTAGTAAAAAACTTAGGAATTCAATAAATAAGAGTTCAAGGAAGCTTACAACCAAAGCTAGGTTTGCAAGAAGAAGTCTTGTCCAAAAACTATGAAACTTGGAACAAAGGAGGATATTTATACACAGGGAAAATCGGGGAACGCTGGGAAGGAATGCCTTCCCTTTTAGAGAAACGCTAGGACGAACAATGTTCCTCCTCGGTGTTCCTGCCTTGACACAAAAATTCGCTACCCGACAGAGAGTTCGGTGGCGGGAGGGAAGTGGAGAGGATGCCGTTCTTGAAGGAATGCTAGTAGGTACGCCGTTCCTTGTCAGCGTTCCTACACCTGGGACTATGAAATAGAAATTCAATCTTACGAAAAGGAGGGACGCTGGGAGGGACATCGTTCCCTATGGCGTTCCTGTGGCTCCTTCCACTGAAAAACCTCCAACGTCTTCAATTCTTGCTTATTTGTGCTCCGCTTCGTCCTAGGATCTACACATAATTCATTTATGCTTTTGAGATTCTTCAAAATGCTCTGTTTTCACCGCTACAATGCTCAAATCCTCCACGTGGTTCATGTAACCAAAATATTGTACAAGTAAAACCAAAATGGGAGAAAAATTATCAAAAGTAGACAAACAAAGACCAAATTTTATGAGAAAGTATTAGGTGTTTTCACACCTATCTGGCATATATTTGTGTGAGAACTGATCTCTTTTCATCTTTTTTTATCTTTTTCTTTCTTTTGTTGGTTATGCAATTCTCTGAGTGTGGCAGAGATGCGCATGTTGCGTTGGATGTGTGGGCATACTAGAAAGGACCGCGTGAGGAATGAGACAATTAGACAAAGGGTGGGAGTAGCACCTATTGAAGATAAGATGCGGGAGTCACGCCTACAGTGGTTTGGTCATGTGCATAGAAGACCGAGTGATGCACCTGTCAGACGAGTTGAGATGTGTGGAGAAGAGGTAGGGAAGAGAGGGAGAGGAAGGCCCAAACAGACGTGGGTTAGGGGAGTCAGAAGTGATATGCTTCTTCTTGGATTGGATGAGAGTATGGCTTTGGAGAGAGCAAAATGGAGGGCGGGTATTCGTGTGGAAGAGTGATCTTGTATCATCTTTTCTCCTCTTTTTTTTCTTTTCTTTTATATTTTTATCCTTATATATAAATATTACTTTATCCTTTTTATTTGATCTTTTATATGTATATTCATCTCTTTTATATTATCTTTTTTTATAATAGCTTATCTTTTTTATCTTTATTTCGTTCTTTTCCTTTTGGTGATATCATATATCGATTCATGTTAGCCGACCCCAATTTCGTTTGGGACTAAGGCTTGGATGTTGTTGTTGGATGTTGTTTGTTGGTTATGCTTTTATCCTTTTTATTTTATATATGTTCTTTTTATTCTTTTTATCTTATCATTTTTATCTTTACCTTATATTTATCTTTATCTATCTCTTTTTAAATCTTTTTATTACACCTTATGTTTTTATCTTCACTGTCATTCTTTTCCTTTTGGCTCTGATGTCATGTATCAATTCATGTTAGCTGACCTCAAAATCTTTTGGGACCAAGGCTTGAGTGTTTTTGTTGTTGTTGTTGTTGCATTACTTTAATTAAAAGAAGTGTTATGTCTGCCAATGAGGTATTGCTCAACTGCTTAGTGCTGAGGCCCTAAGGTCTAGAGATCTCCGTTTTGATCCCTTTTCATCAGGATTTTATCTCAACACTTGATGTGTATATATTGTTATTCCTCTATATAGGGTTTTGTATGTATATTATTTGATTCTTTTGCTGCATTAAATTTATCCGCGTATGTTGTTTTAATTTAGCCGACCCCAACATCTTTTGGGAATAAGGCTTAGATGTTGTTGTATATTGTTTGAATTTGAAGGCATAGTAGTGACTTATGCTTATGTAATTGAGTTCGTGTAACAAAAACAATATTATGTTTCATTAAAAATATCACTTTGTTACACTTCTTAAAGCATGTTTTTTTATTTGAAAGTGACACTTAATGTAAAATAGAGTAGCCATTGAATAAGTATAACATTTAAAGTATCACATTTTCAATGAACAATAATATTTTTATTGAAAAAAGTTGTTATTTGATCTACTAACATTAATTTTATTATTATTAAATGGAGTCTTCTCATAGAAGATGAACAATTTTTGTCAATTAAGAAAGCTTAAATTTCATTTAATGACATGTGCCTTCAGCATAATTTATGAGAAATGTTATCTTTGGTAAAAATGAGTCATTGATTTTGCAGTTTTTCATGCGAGTTATTTGAGTGAGATTGTGGAAGCATTTTTCACCTACAAAACTGTCCCTAATTACCTTGAAATGTTGGTTATTGTCGTTACTTGGCTATCTCACAGTGGGGACAAATGGAAGATGTAAGAAATCAGGTTTGGGGTTGCATGTCAGACAAGATCTATATCCGTCTTATGAAACGAGATCTATGAGGCGGTCTCACAAGACCACCACCATATCCATCATTATGGTACATTGGGACAATGTTGCACCAAATGCTTTTCATGTACTGTGGAATCCGTGGATTTCTTTTTCACGTGGAATATAGGGTATTCTCATGGAATGATTAAGAATATGGTAAATGCCGTCCTTTACTAGTAAGACTTAGATATTTGAGCTTCTCTGTTAGTTTCCTGTGACCATGTAGGTGGTGGCATAATGGGCCATCTACTTCTGAGAGTTCCACATTAGGATCATTCGCGGAGTCTATCAGACGAGGTCCTTGCAACTTATAGTAAATATATTTTTGGTGGTGTAGAAAAAGGCCTTCCTTAGATTCATCAGCTTCATTCTCAAGAGTGTATTTAGGGCCTCCAAATTCTCTTGTTTGTAATTGTTGCCAAAGATGCCTGTTTAGCGATTCTATCCCTGCAAAATCAGTTGGAGATATCACAATATCGTAGACATGCATTTGACTAACCAAGTTGCTCTTGATGAAGGTATGTGCTTAAGAAGGTTTCAGAAGGCTTGTACACTTGGTGAGCCGGTATTGTCTTACAACTCCGTGCAGATACAACTTAACAACAAATGGTATGCATTTCACTTCAACTCTCAGTGAGATTATTCCACCTCCGGGTCTTACAGTTAGATTTTCACTTTCTACCGTCATTAACTTTGGTCTCTTCCACTTTTAGTCTTTAAGTTTAAACAAATGTACCACTTTAGCCCATAATGTTTAAATAAATTGATCTCATTTTGTGAATATTTAATAAAACTTGGTTCGACTACGTTTGATGGCATACTGTGATTTTCATTGAAATTTGAATGTTTTGGAAATTTGAGGAATAAATTGATAGAAACCTCCAGAAATCACAACAATTTCACAGCAGAAATGTAAAATAGTATCAAGAAATCAAAGCAGTTTTATTAGAGATGAATAAGAACTGGTCGAAGCCCCCAAATGAGCCGAAGCCCCCCAAAAGAGAGAGAATGATCTCAATCTTCCCAGAATAGACTAATCAGTCAAAACAGCCTGCCCAACTATTCCCAGCTATATTCTATTTATACTAAACTTATACCCTTCTTCTTATTGATACTCTAATAGGCCCGGTCCATTATTCTTATTAATACCCTAATAGGCCCGGTCCCTAACACTACTCCCCCCTAAACATCCACCTTGCCCTCAAGGTGGGTGATAGGACACAGCCACAATCTTCTTCTTTTCTTTCATCCTAGCACCTCTCCCCTTCCAATACTGGATTGATTTCTGGACCCATAGCTTGGCTGCTTTCATCTTCCTTCCTATGTACTTTACAGCATAATTACACCATTGCCTTGACAATCTATCCAGAATTGACTTGAAATCTTCAGGGTACTCCTTTATAAACTCATTCCTTCTGCCTTCAATTTTCTGTTCTTGTTTCTGCTCATTACTCTGTCCCTCCCTGCCACAGATATCCATCACCTTGAATAATATGATTCAGCCCTTGTTTCTTCCATTTTATAATCTGGTTTTGGAAATTAACTTCCATATCACCTAGATCAGTTAACCAGTCCATGCCCAGGACTACATCAGTATCTCCCAAATCAATTAAGTAATAGGTCTGCTGAATCTCCACCCCTTGCACCTTCAGGCCCACTCCTGCACACTTGCCACAGTTGGTTATGCATTCTCCATTTCCAGTTTGTACTTTGTATCCCTGAATGGAAGTATAAGGAATCTTCCATCTTTCTACCAAATCCTGTGAGATAAAATTGTGGGATGCACCACTATCAAAAAGTACATTCACTGTTTGTTCTCCGCCAGGCCATCTCAATATTCCTTTTACCTTGAATGTTTTCATCGAGGGTATCACCTCTTTGCTTAACACTGATAGCTGCAAAGTCTTCAGTTCCAGAGGTATAGTTTTATCATCTATATGCTCGAATGATTCCACTTCTGATTCAGCTTCATTCTCAGATTTCTCCACTAGGATTATTTTATAGTTCCTCATCTGGCAAACGTGTCCTCTACTCCAATTTTCACCACATTTAAAACATAAACCTCTTCTGCTTCTGTCTAACAGCTCATTCTTGGACAATCTGGGATCTTCCCTTTCACATTTGGATTTTTTTTCTTCACAAGGGGCTTTATTCTCTCCGGTTAGTTTGTTCATAGTTGCAGAAATAGTGGGGTCACCTTTCCACTTGTTGCTATCTCCCCAGTTTTGGTTGCTCTTACTCAACCCTTTTCTCCTCCCTTCTTCCCTGTTCTTGATAAACATGGATTCACTATTTTTGTTATCAATTAAGAGTGCAACATCCATTACCTTTGCTAAAGACCTGGCAGAGTGTAGCTTTAGTTCAGCCCTGATGTCCCTCTTTAATCCTTTGAGAAAAATCCCTCTCAGCACTTCTTCAGTCAAGTGACCTTGAGAAGCTATGGCGGTTTCGAATTGATCTCTGTACTCCTGGACAGATCCCTTCTGCTTTAAACTGAAAAGAGGTCCCAAAGGATCCTGTACCATATCAGGCTGGAATCGATTGGACAGAGCACTAGTGAAGGAGTCCCAATTCTGATGCTGAGCTTGCCCCTCCCACCATTGGAACCAGCTCAGAGCCTGGTCTTCCAAGGCGACAACAGCTACATCAATCTTATCATCTTCCTCCGTTCGGTTCAGTCTGAAATATCTGTTCATTCTCACTAACCAGCCAAAAACGTCTTTTCCATTGAAGATGGGTAAATCGATCTTTCTTCCCACAGGATGTTGACGTCTGCGATTGCGATGCTGATCGCCATGACTGGGTGATGCAGAGTGATCTGAATGGTTATCCGAATCCTCTGATGTATCATCGTTCTTCCTTCGCCGATGATGAGAAGTGTGGTGCGAAGACGTCGATTGGTGTGATTGACTCCGCGATCGATCGATCTTCGCGAAGCCTGCTTGCATCATCGCTAACAGTTCTGCGTACTTCGCGTTCGATTCATCGATCCTTGCCTCTATCTTCGCCGCTAATTCCTTTTGGCTTCGATCAAGATTCCGCTCCAATTCAGTCATTCGCCCTTCCATTCTTCTTCTCGTACCAACCATTCACAGAACCGAATTCTCTGATACCAATTGATAGAAACCTCCAGAAATCACAACAATTTCACAGCAGAAATGTAAAATAGTATCAAGAAATCAAAGCAGTTTTATTAGAGATGAATAAGAACTGGCCGAAGCCCCCAAATGAGCCGAAGCCCCCCAAAAGAGAGAGAATGATCTCAATCTTCCCAGAATAGACTAATCAGTCAAAACAGCCTGCCCAACTATTCCCAGCTATATTCTATTTATACTAAACTTATACCCTTCTTCTTATTGATACTCTAATAGGCCCGGTCCATTATTCTTATTAATACCCTAATAGGCCCGGTCCCTAACATAAATATGGAAAGATCAATGTTGAGGACAAAGGCCTGGATGTTGTTGTTGTATCAATGTTGAGGACAAAAATTATGAATAGTAAAAATGACACGGTACTACGGTAGTGTAGGTACGGAAACTATTATACTCAGAATTTCAATTATCTTTTCATATCTATTAGCGGAAATCTAGAAAGAAATGCATATTCAATAACTGTTTGCTACCTTTGATAATTGGTCCTCGGTATCGGTAGTCTGCATTTTTATTCAAGTTAATTCCAGCTTTGGTGCACCCAACTATTGTGTTTGTTACGTTTGATTATCGAATTTAAAACTGATAAGATTCATTCACCTACTATAGAAAATGAACTACTTTTAGTCCTTTGAAGGACTGGAATTGTCATTTTTAGGACTAAGAGAGGCATTTTTTATATTTTCATTTAATAGGCAAGTGACAAAGTTTGGCTGATTTAAACTGGATGATCAAATGTATAAAACAATATTTGAAGGATTAAAACAGGAATTAATTTTTTGTTCCTTCTCCAGCACAGTTGCAAAAAAAAAACAATATTAAATGTAACACTAGCACTAGTAACAATAATCATAATGGTGATAATAATAATAATAATAGTATTAACTATTAACACTCTAATATATAAATGTACAATAACAACAATAATCACCACCAGAAGCTGCTAGTGCTTTGAAGTTATACTACAAGCATGCCTAAAAGCATCATCAATGAAACACTTAACTACAATTTTGAACCCTGGCCCGTTCAATATAGTTATGGTAGAAGGGTATATAGCGATATGGGACTTCAGTAGGATCCTAGCTGCTATGTGCGACTCCCATGTTTCCCAAGCATGTTTTTACACTAATGCGTTGAACGAACTGAATTCTTACCTTCCCCTTGGTTGGATCTGAACCTGCAAAATGAGGCTTTTAGCAAAGCAGAGGTCCAACTCTTAAGTTAAATTGATTGACCACCAAAGTTGTGCGTAATCACCATCAAGTTTATGTTTTGGAATTGGACTTGAAGCATGCCAAAAAGTCCCACCCCCCACGCTCTCTCCTTTTCACTTGGCATATCTGAACCTATATTCCATTTACTGTGTACGTTACCCATAAATCAAAGAGGAAAAGGAGGAATGTTTTGTTCTTTCTCTAGTTTGCTCTTTGGAGCCTATGCGCTAGAATCCTTGAATCATCATCATCATTACCCCAGTGCGCAAAGGCTCCCACCTACGGTGGGATAAGGGGGGTCGGATGTACGCAGCCTTACCCCTTTACTAAAGCATAGGGAGACTGTTTCCGGATGACCCATGGTGAAAATCGCGTCGAAAATTGCATGGACTGACTGCTGCTTCATAACAAAGAAGTGCAGACAGTTTAGAGAGTCATTTTGCTTTATTCCATCATATTTCCAAGCCAAAAATATGTAAACTTTGGCTTCATTGCAAATGATGGAAAACTAGAATCCTTGAATGTGGAATTATAATATGTATATGAAGTTTTCTGATGGGATTTGCTACCTTCAATTCCTACTCCCTTGTCCATTGTATTGCGGAAAACTGTTCTGCCCGTGCTATCCAGCCTACCGGATCTGTGCTCGTGAAGCTTTGTATCTCAATTTGTTTGACATTGATTAGATGTACATCTGAAGTTGTAAAGGTGTTGAAGATGACAGATTTATCTGTCGGCGACTCATTGTCTGCATTAGCCTTTGTGGTAGTGCCATACTCAGTGCGCCCTATGCTTTTCAACTCCTGTGTAACCATCTCATTCGGTTTGGCAAAGGACTCCGCTGCACTGACAAATTGTTGGGTGACTTCGACCCGAAGCAAGTAGACATTTGTGAAAACCCTAGTAGTATTGGGCTTAGCCCATTTGTATATCTTGTATAGGAAACCCTAGTACTCTAAATATAGCTATAAATATAGCCTCTTGTATAGCACTTTATCATCAAGTATATGAAATACAACAATACTTGTTCACATGGTATCAGAGCCTATACGGCAAATATAGTTAGCTAGTTAGCGTTATAAACTGCCGCTCCGAATCCGGACAGAAGTTCAGGCCATAATTTCCGACGTGAATAGTGGTCGCAACTCACTTGAGTGCTTTTGGTAGTGATACAAGCCTACCATCGTGCTCAACTCTACATAGCGACTTACCCCCGAAAGTTTCGCCGCCGCTGCCCCACCCACGCTCCGCCGTCGGTCGCTGAAAGTCACCTGCAGGTACACATCTTTGCAGATCTGCTCCTTCTTAGTCATCTGCGAGCGACACCGACAGGTTTTTCAGAAACCTAGGTCCCTGACGACCTAGACCAGTCAGTCTGGTCCGCCGCCGCTTCCACACGCGCCGCCGCCGCTTCCACACGCGCCGCCGCCGATCATACTCGCCGGCAGAAACGAGCCGTCGGTCCAGACTCGCCGCCAGAAACGAGCCGCCGATCATACTTCCACGTGAGCAGACTTGCTCCGCTGCTGGTTGAGCTGCTTAGGTCACGGTAGTATTTCTTCCATATCTCTGTCGTTTTAATTTCACTGTTCCGCTGCTGTCCATACGTTTGTGAGCAGATTAGTCACCTTACTCATCTGCCATGATATTTTATTTGTAAAAAAAAAGAATGTCTTCTGGTTTTTCTTCATTTGCTTCAGTTCCTATTATTACAACGGATCGTTTGGTTGGAAGTGCTAATTATCAATCATGGGCTATTTCTATGGAGATGTGGTTCAAAGGTCAAGGACAAATTGATCACTTGCTTACATATGCCAATTCAGTCAAGGATAAGAAAACGGAATGGGAGAATATGGATGCACTGTTGTGCAATGTTTTTTGGCAATCCATGGACTCCAAACTTCATCTTACATATCAATCATATCGGACGTGTAAACAGATTTGGGAGAAAGCCAAGTCTAATTACACTAATGATATTCAAAGTCTGTTTTCTTTTGGATCCAAAATTGCCAATCTCAAGCAACAAGAATTGGACATCCAGGATTTTATAGGCCGGGCTGAGGCTTTACTCTTTGAGTATAATACCATTCAACCTATCACGGAAGATAGAGAGAAACAACTAGAACAACGACAACAACAACAACTTGTTATGGTTTTAGCTTTGGCAGGTCTTCGCCCTGAGCTGTTATCTATACGTGAACAAATTCTCTCTAGTTCTACTCTTCCAACTATGACAGACGCTTTTTCTCGAATTCTTCGTGCGGCCCCGATATCTGCTGAATTGGGTTCTACTGATTCTACCATTCTTGCATCACAAGGTGTGGGGCCCGACGGAGGAAACAACAAAGGATATCTGCGTCGAAGCCGACCTAAGTGTGACTACTGTCATAAGATTGGTCATACTAAAGATAGGTGTTGGAAGTTACACGAGAGACCTCCTAGCTCAGCCACTGTTGCTCAGATTCCGCCATCTCCGGTTGTTCTACCTCCAGACGAATATGTCGCCTATTAGAAATTTAAGTCTGCTAATTTGCCTTTATCTGCACCTACCGCTTGTATTTCAAACACCACAGGCTCATGAATCATTGACTCAGGTGCTTCAGACCATATTTCTGGTAATCCCCATCTTTTATCCCATATTACCAAACACCAACACCTTCCTTTAATTACTTTGGCTAATGGCCATCAAACTTCGGCCACGGGTATTGGGCAAGCACTACCACTTTCATCCTTACCATTACATTCAGTCTTATATGTTCCTAATAGCCCTTTTAACCTTGTCTCTGTTAGTAAAATTACGCGTGCTCTTGATTGTTCTATAACCTTTTTTGCTGATTCTGTAACTGTGCAGGACCGTCGTTTGGGGAAGACAATTGGCGTCGGGCATGAATCTCAAGGCTTGTATCATCTTCATCCTGTTGATCCAATCGCTTGTGTCTCCGTTGAACCTGCATTAACGTTACATAACCGTTTGGGTCATCCTAGCCTCTCAAAGTTTCGACGTATGGTCCCAGGTTTTTAAGTCTTTCGTCTTTAGATTGTGAGTCATGTCACCTTGGAAAGCAACCTCGTAAATCCTTTCCGAGGCGTGTTAATAAACGGGCTGCGTCCCCTTTTGATTTAGTTCATACAGATGTATGGGGTCCGTATCGAGTCACTTCTACTTTAGGATTTCGCTATTTTGTTATTTTTGTGGACGACTTTTCCCGTTACACGTGGTTGTTTTTAATGAAAGAACGTTTTGAATTACTCCATATTTTCCAGACTTTTTGTGCCGAAATCCACACTCAGTTTGGTCATTCTATCAAAGTTTTACGCAGTGATAATGCTAAAGAATTTTTTGTGGCACCCTTTAATGAATTCATGACATCACGGGGTATGCTTCATCAGTCTTCTTGTGTACACACGCCTTAGCAAAATGGGGTAGCTGAACGCAAGAATAGACACTTAGTTGATACTGCCCGTACTCTGTTATTACATTCACATACACCACCTCAGTATTGGGCCGACGCGGTACTCACTGCGTGTTATTTAATAAATAGAATGCCTTCCTCAGTTATTGATAATGAAATTCCTTATTCTGTCTTGTTTCCTAGTCGTGAGTTATTTCCATTACCACCTCATGTGTTTGGGTGTGTGTGTTTTGTCCATGATTTTATACCTGGATTATCTAAAATGTCAGCTAGGTCAATAAAATGCATTTTTCTTGGATATTCACGAGTCCAAAAGGGTTATCGTTGTTATTCTCCATTCCTTAAGAAGCATTTTATTTCGGCTGACGTCACTTTTATGGAGTCCTCCTTTTATTACCCATTATCTTCTGCTGATACTCCATCATGTTTGGACTTCATCTCATAGCTTCGGCCCATCCATACAGAAACTGTTCTTTCCCCTCCATCTGATGAGCACCCCCAATGCCCTCCTGTGGTAGACCCTCCTCCATTACAGGTATACCATCGCCGTCCTCGACCTCCTGCCATTGAGCCTATCGTGGCCACGCCAGTTGATTCCCCTATGACGGTTCATGCATCATCACCATCAACTACCGCACCACCTGAAAACACTCTGGATGATTTGCCCATTGCCCTCCGAAAAGGTACGCGTTCTACACTGAATCCACATCCCATATATAACTTTTTGAGTTATCACCGCCTCTCTACCCCGTACTATGCTTTTATTTCCCACCTGTCTCATATATCCATTCCTAAAACCACACATGAGGCACTGGCACACCCGGAGTGGCGTAAAGCTATGTTGGCTAAGATGGAGGCTCTTCATTCTAGTGGGACGTGGGACTTAGTCCCCCTTCCCGCTGGCAAATCAGTGGTGGGATGTCGGTGGATTTACACAGTTAAAGTTGGGCCTGATGGGGAGATTGATCGTTTTAAAGCACGCCTTGTGGCGAAAGGGTATACTCAGATATATGGTTTGGATTACACTGACACTTTTTCTCCTGTAGCGAAGATTGCATCAGTTCGTTTGATTTTATCCATGGCAGCAATGAGCCGCTGGCCATTGTTTCAATTGGATATCAAAAACGCTTTCCTTCACGGAGATCTACATGAGGAAGTTTATATGGAGCAACCACCTGGATTTGTTGCTCAGGGGGAGTCTGGTATGGTGTGCAGATTATGTCGTTCATTGTATGGCTTGAAGCAATCTCCACGTGCATGGTTTGGGAGGTTTAGTGCCGTTATCTGCAGCTTTGGCATGATTCGCAGTGCTATTGATCATTCTATATTCTACAGACATTCTGCTGACAACAAATGTATTTATCTTGTTGTGTGTGTTGATGACATTGTCATTACAGGTAGTGATGATCAAGGCATTGTGCTCCTCAAGCAACATCTCTTTAGCAAATTTCAAACAAAAGACTTGGGAAAGTTAAGATACTTCCTCGGCATCGAGGTCGCACAGTCTGAAAATGGAATTGCTCTCTCACAAAGAAAGTATGCCTTGGATATTCTTGAGGAAACAGGGTTGCTAGATTGCAGGCCAGTGAATACACCAATGGATCCGAACGTTAAACTCTTATCAGAACAGGGAGATCTTTTGCCTAACAAGGAAAAATATAGAAGACTCATCGGCAAATAGAATTATCTTACCATCACGAGACCAGATATTTCATTTGCGGTAAGTGTTCTTAGTCAGTTTCTTGATAAGCCATGTACTGGACATTGGGATGCAGCTATCAGAGTTTTGAGATACATCAAGAAAACTCCAGGGCAAGGATTGCTGTTTGAAGATCGAGGCCACCACGATATTTTGGGATACTGTGATGCAGACTGGGCCGGATGTCCGATGGATAGACGTTCCACATCGGGATATTGCATCTTAATTGGTGGAAACTTAATTTCATGGAAGAGTAAGAAACAGGATGTGGTTGCCAGATCTAGTGCTGAAGCAGAATATCGTGCAATGGCCCTTGCTACATGTAAAATCTTATGGTTGAAGCATCTCCTCCAAGAGTTAAAATATGGAAACACAAAACCGGTTCAACTCATGTGTGATAATCAAGCTGCAATGCACATTGCATCAAATCCGGTATATCATGAGAGGACGAAACATATTGAAGTTGATTGTCATTTTATCCGAGAGAAGATCACGAGTGGACATATCATCACAAAATATGTGAACACAACTGAACAACTTGCAGATATTTTAACTAAGTCTCTCAGAGGTTCTAGAGTGGGATATATTTGTAACAAGCTTGGTACATATGATTTATATGCTCCAGCTTGAGGGGGAGTGTGAAAACCCTAGTAGTATTGGGCTTAGCCCATTTGTATATCTTGTATAGGAAACCCTAGTACTCTAAATATAGCTATAAATATAGCCTCTTGTATAGCACTTTATCATCAAGTACATGAAATACAACAATACTTGTTCACAACATTCATCATGCAAGTTAATGGCATATTCTACTAGCACGTCGGACCAATTTGGTGGAGTTAAGAAGCAGAAGTGGAGAAAAATATAAATTAATGGATACTGAAATTGATTAGGATGTGAACGAACAAGGATATCATATAGACAGCCTCCAGCAAGAAGTTCTTGCTATAATTCTGAATGTAAAACTGTAGAAGTGGTGCCTTCCCTTCTCGTGGAAAGTCTTTAGTAGTATATTACCATGTATATTTAGAGCCAGTATCAATCAAAGTGCAAATCAATATGAGTTATGTTCAATTATGTTCCTGCTAATTGATTTCTTTTCTTCCTTCTAAAATAAACTATCCAGGGTTTGGTGTGTGTATCATATTCCAATACAGCCACTGATTGTAGATGATTGATCTACAGGACATCACTAGCCTTGATGATGTACCGAGAAACAATTGCAGCTGGTCTGACACCCACAGTGAAGGAGCTTTCACAAGTTTTGGGTTGCTTACAGCTTCCTCGTAATGCATGCTTCAAAGCAAGACTAGTTGAGGATCATGTATTTACTTTTGATGACTCAAAAAGTTCAAACTTATGCTCATTGATTGATGGTTTTGGGGAATATGATCCCCGTGCATTTCAGTTGATCGAGGTTTGTAGCCTTTTAAGGCATTAAGATCAACACACTTATCTTTCTTGTTAGTCTTTTATGAAGCTTCTTCACTTGGACTTTTTTCATGTGTCTTTTAGGAAGCTTCTTCACTTGGATTGATTCCTTTGGCCTGTCTTAAGGGTAGCCCAATTGTTGTTAATGTGAAGGATTTGCAGATTCACACAGTTGAGGTAAGTTTTTACGTGAACAAATTTTGCTGCATAAGAGAAGGTTTGCATAAGAGAAGGTTTGGTGCAAAGATTCCCAAATGTGTAGAGTTTGTAGTAGGGCTGGGTTGTATCACAGTTTTGTTGTGTAATACTACCTTCGTACTCTTAAGTTTGGTACATGGGGATGTAATGCGGTTATTAAGAAAAGCTAGTTTATGTGGTTGGTATTGAATTGATAAATTAAGAATAAAGTAATAACGATTTAGAACCACATAAACATTATCAAATTTGGTATGGAACAATCTTAGTGGGACGAAAAGGGAAAAAGGGAAAGCCTTAGTGGGACAGAAGAAGTATATATTACTTAAAACAGTTGTGTACTTGTGTCTTTTAGACCCTGGTATGAAAATAAAAAAGGTGTTATTATGCTAATTGGATGAGCAAGTTTTATCGGACAACAATTAGGTCTGCATTATTGTATGGCGTAGAGTGTTGGGCGGTAAACAATGTCATGCTCAAAAGATGAGTGTGGTTGAGATGCATATGTTGCATTGTATGTGTGGATACACTAGAAAATATCACTTCAGAAATGGGAGAATCAGACAAAAGGTGGGAGTAACACTTATTGAAGATAAGATGCGTGAGTCTAGGTTTGGCCATATGCGTAGAAGATTGAGTGATGCGTCTCTTAGATGAACTGAGAGGTGGGGAGGAGAGACAAGTAGGAGAGAGAGGACCCAAACAGATGTGGAGGGAGAATATACATTTGGAGGATTAATCTCCTTTTATCTTTTTTTAACTCCGATTTTATATGTGGATTCATGTTAGCCGATCCCAAACTCCGATTTTGAATGGTGCATTATGCTCGGTCGAAAAAAAATCCACTTTTAGTCATTCGAGTATTATACCAATCTCACTTGGGTCAATATCTTTGACTCTTCCTACATTTAGTACATAACTATTATTTTTTCCACTCGTAGTGGTCCTTCCAGTTGAACATCCGGCGTTTAAGATTGCCTTCAAGGCACCCGAGCTGGAAGGACCACGAGTGGGCAAAGAATAATAGTCATCATATACCAAATGTAAAAAAAAGGTAACCACAAGCGGCTGCTCCCTAGACTTGAACTTGTGACCGCTTGATCAAACAGCAACACCATAATTGGTGCGCTAATGCTCCCCTTTTCTCTGCCCGTTCAATAAGAAACTTAAAATGGCGTAATGCAGTAGAGCAGCACCCCATAATTCACAAATTTTGTCAGTATACCTTAGATTCCAAAATAATGTTGTTCTTGTTAATATGACACTCTCTTTTGACTAGTTGCATGTTCACCAAACTGTTAAAGATTTTACTGAAATTTGTTTTTTGAAATGGTTCCAGGTTTATATTTTGACGGTTTTAAGAGGCCTCAAGCGTCGCCTGGCTGCTGGTAATACTATATTATTTTCCCGTTATTTCTTGTTTTGGATCAAATCCTGACTGTTCTTTATGGTAGGTTTAACCGTTAACTTTTATCCCCACTTTACTCTTCATTTTAAGCTTTTTGTGTGTTAGTTGATTATCACCAATTTTTGAAAAAAATAGTTGATAGACTGAGAGATCAGAAAATATTTTTAGTTCTGGCCAAGGAATATCATGTCAGAGTTCAGAAATGTAGTGATATTATTTAAAAACTAAGGTGTTATCTGTGCACTGTATTATTGAAATCAAATATTAACATTAGTGCCTAGTGGAGCAGACATTTTTACAAAAGTTAAGACATAAGAAAGAAACATAAACACCGTCGTCAAGTTACACACTTCCATGATGTGCATGTTGATTTTACAATATTGGATTTACAGCGTGTCACGACTATAACAGCTAGTCTCCTCATTTCCCTCTTGATAATATTGTGCAAGTTCAAATATGATAGGTAGCGGAGGAATCCCAGTAGATAAAAGCAGTGTATTAATGAAGATTAAAGGTTGGAATACAGAAAATTATGAAAGAAAAGGTTTGAGACTCTTCGAGTGGTCTCTCACTCCCAGTTCCGATCCCAGTTCCCAAGTTTCAACCTCCGTTATTCTTTCCCCTACCCCTCTTTTATAATAAAACTCACTAAAAGGGCCAGCCCTCACTTAAGCTATTGGGCCTGGACCCCTATTATTGGAAAACATTAAAATACTTAATAAGACTCTAATTATTTGTAGTACTCGGGTCCCTATCATCACTCCCCCCTGAACTTCCACCTTGTCCTCAAGGTGGATGATAAGAGACTGATTTTCCTTTGGGTTTCAGCAGGTTTTCAGCTTCATCCTTTTCATATAATTGATCTTCTGTTCCCTTCTCTTCTTCTGGCTCTTCCATCCAGATAAGTTGATAATTTTTCATTCCACATACATGCTCTTTGCCCCATTTGTTTCCACATTTGAAACATAGGCCCTTCTTGCTTCTTTCTTCTAAGTCCGCTTGTGTCAACCTTTGGCCATTCTCCCATGTCTTATTTGGTTTTGGCGATTCCTCCAGTTTGTTCTCCGAGAATGTTCTCTCCGGAGCAGTTGTTCTTCCCTTTGTCGCTTCCACCCAATTCCAGGCTCTGACAAGTTTTCCTCCATGTTCCTTCAAGCCTTTGTTGTCTTCTTCTTTATTTGTTTCTCCTGTCCATACCTTATTCTTCTGTTCAACTGATAGGCACAGACACAAATCACAGCTAAAACAGTAAGAGAATACACAGATCTGATGAGCAGAGATGGAAATAGATGTTTATTGATGAAATAGGTAAGCCGTAGGTAGTACAGGGACTTCTTAGGCAACCGGGACTCTTAAGCAACAAGGCAACAGTTCTCAAAATAACCCCTACCTATTATTAGCTACCCAACTTGCTATTTATAGTAGTAGGTCCACGCAAGGACTAAAATAGATAAACAGACTCATTAAATGACCCAGCCCACTTAATGGACCTCAGCCCATTTTATTTCTACTTTCAAATAACCTATTAAAATACTAAATAGGCAGATTCCTAACATTACTCCCCCCTTAATTAACCACCTTGCCCTCAAGGTGGGTAATAAGACACAGCCTTGATCTTGAACTTCCTCTTCATCCTGGAACCTCCACCTTCCCAGTACCTCCTTGATGGTTTCTGCTCTAGGAACTTCATTTCCTTCGCTTTCATCATCACATCTTTCAAAGCAAACAGGAGCAGAAACTGGGTATTAAAATTTCCTGGAATTACACTTGAAGCCTCTTCCTTGTAACCAATCTCTTCATGTACAGGTTCTAAGGCAGACATGCTGTGAGGAGTTGTAACTCTCAATGGATCAAGGAACAAACCAGTTTGAACCCTTATAAGAACTTCCATACCAACTTCAACTGTGTGAACAATTCTCCTCTTCCCATTAATTCCTTCTTGTAGCATTTCTCTGATAATCCTCTCTATATCCTCTTTTTGGCCTTGTGGGTATCTATATAACCTCAGGTTACTTCTGCTCCCTCTTCAATGTTAATAGCATGGTCACACTTTCTAGAATGAGGTAATCCTGGTCTGGGAGTAGATACCTCAGAGAATTCTGCCACAATTCCTTCCAAATTGAAATCCTTCAGCTGAATTTCCTCTCCATCCAATTTTATGCCTTCCCAGTAGATAAGATAGCCCACACCAGTCTCCTGTACAATATGTGACGTGGTCTTCAGAGATACCTCCATAGAGTTTGACTTAGGATCCCCTTGAATAGCCTGACTTATCCCCAACTGATGCTACTTTATGCTCTGCTTCTGAAAGTTGATCTCCACATCCCCCAATCCAGTCAACCAATCCATGCCAAGAACCAAGTCAGCTCCCTCCAACTCCAGCATGTAGAAATCTTGTTGAATGACAGCTCCCTGCAAGCTCAGAATTAATTGTTCACACCTGCCCTTGTTGAAGACCTTATCACCATTCCCAAGCTGCACCTTGTAGCCAGCAATGGTCTGACAAGGGAGGGTTAACTGCTCTATCATTTTCTGAGATATGAAGTTGTGTGAGGCTCCACTATCAATTAGGACATCTACTGGCTTCTCTCCCTTAGCCCATTTCAGAATCCCCTATACCCTAAAAGCCCTCATAGAGGGTTTTCCCTCCTGGTTCAGGAAGGATAATTGCAGGGACTTAGATTCCATAGTGATCTTTTCATTTTCAAGGATTACCCCTTCTGAGTTATCTAATTCCTCTTCTCCCTCTGAATCTTCCACTAAAATCAGTTTGTAATTCTTCATTTTGCATGAGTGCTCTCTACCCCATCTTTCACCACATTTGAAACAAAGCCCCTTCCGGCTTCTATCTTGGTATTCTTCTTGTGTCAGCTGTGGCCCTACTCTTCTTATGTCTGAGGGATTTATTTCGGTTTCCTTCTTCCCATCAGGAGTAAACCAAGGTTGGTTTCCCTGCTGGCCTGAAGCATTACTGCCACCAGTCTGGGACCCTGAACTCCCAGCTTTTGGCTTGTATCCCTCACCCCAAAAGTGTTGTCTATAGTTCAACTGCCCTTTTTCCTTCCCTCCCAGTTTATCTGCAGCCTTTCCTTTCAAGTGCACAACCTCATTCCTTTGTTCAATCAAGATGGCCCTATCCATGGTGGCAGATAACGACTTGGAGTGGAAGAGTTTGAGTTCAGCTTTCACTTCATCCTTGAGGCCATTAATGAAGATGCCTCGAAGCATTCCCCTGTCAATGTTCTTCTGTGGGGCTATATCCATCTCAAACTCCTCCCGGTAATCCTGTACAGTCCCAGTTTGTTTCAGACTCAACATGGGTCCAAAGGGGTTTTGTAGTAAGTCGGGCTGGAACCTGCAGATGACAGCATCCTTCAGGTTTTCCCAGGTTACCTCCTCCGCCTGATGTTCCCACCACTGGAACCAATTCAACGCTCTATCCTCCATAGCCACCATGGAAAGTTTGGAAACCTCCGCCTTGTCTTCTTCCTCAGTATTATTCAATCTAAAATAGCGCTCCATTCTCACTATCCAGTTGTAAGCACCATCCCCATTGAACAGTGGTAGGTCCACCTTCCTACCAGTATGAACTCTACGGTTGTGGACAGGAGAATGAACAGAATTACCTCTGGATTTCGTGGGACTGTGCGGTGACCTCGAACGATGGTGGTGGCTTGATCGCGACCTCCCCCGATGCTGATCGCGAAGTCTATGGATTTGCTCAGCCATCGCGGCCGTAGAAGCCACTAGGTTGTTCTGGAACTGTTCAGCCATCGCGGTCGTAGAAGCAGCTAGATTGCTCTGGAACTGTTCATTCATAGTTGCCATAGAAGCCGCTAGATTGCTTTGGAACTGTTCATTCATCGTTGCCATAGAAGCCGTGAGTGTCGCCACTGCCGTCTTCATCTCTAGCTCCAACGCATCCACTCGATGTTCCATTTTAGATCTGGTTTTGACCATAAACCTCTTAAGCGTTCGTTTAGTTGAAGCCGAGCCCCCAATCCAATCTCCAGGAGCTAGGTTGCAGTCGCTACCTCACAAAGATGCTGAAGCGAGAACTCTACTGTAGTCGCACTTCACTTGCGATCCCCAGGAGCGATTACTCTGATACCAATGATAGGCACAGACACAAATCACAGCTAAAACAGTAAGAGAATACACAGATCTGATGAGCAGAGATGGAAATAGATGTTTATTGATGAAATAGGTAAGCCGTAGGCAGTACAGGGACTTCTTAGGCAACCGGGACTCTTAAGCAACAAGCCAACAGTTCTCAAAATAACCCCTACCTATTATTAGCTACCCAACTTACTATTTATAGTAGTAGGTCCACGCAGGGTCTAAAATAGATAAACAGACTCATTAAATGACCCAGCCCACTTAATGGACCTCAGCCCATTTTATTTCTACTTTCAAATACCCTATTAAAATACTAAATAGGCAGATTCCTAACATCAACTAGCTGGGCTGTCTCCATAAGATCAGTTAACCCAGTGGGCCGGTGCAACTTCAACTCTGAGCTAATTTCTTCTTTGAGGCCATTAAAAAATACTCCTTTTAGCATCTCTGGGTCAGCAATTTTGAGGGGAGCTACAACCCTTTCGAAATGATCCCTGTACTCCATGACTGAATTAGTTTGCTTAATTTTGAGCATAGGGCCAAACGGGTTCTGAACCAATTCCGGCTGGAAGCGTCTGATCAAAGCTTCCTTAAAATTACCCCAGGAGTGGTCATCAGTCTGTTCATCCCACCATTGATACCAGTTCAGAGCCCTTTCGGTCATGGCTATCAGGACAACTTCCACTTTGTCACTCTCCGATACATGATTTAATTTAAAATAGCGTTCGACCCTGAGAAGCCAACCGTAAGCATCGTTTCCACTAAACAAATGTAAATCCACCTTTCTTCCGGTATAAACCCGATCGTTAATTCTCGTATGCTCAGGAGTACGAGAAACGGATTTAGAATTGTGAGAATTACCTCCTGAACTGGACGAACTCACACTAGCAGAAGTGTGGCGCCGGCGAGGGGTGGCTGATCGTCCTCTTCTTTTCCTGCGATTTCCCTGGGTCTCGAGACTTTCCATCTTCGCTAGCAGTGTCTGCATCCGTTCATCCATCATTGACAGCATCTCTGTGCGCATATCGGCCATGGACCGCTCAAAAGATCTCTCTAGGTTATCAATCCTCTGCTCCATGTTCGATCGAGTGCGGACCATATACAGGTGCAGCGACTGGCTTTGATACCAATGATAGGTAGCGGAGGAATCCCAGTAGATAAAAGCAGTGTATTAATGAAGATTAAAGGTTGGAATACAGAAAATTATGAAAGAAAAGGTTTGAGACTCTTCGAGTGGTCTCTCACTCCCAGTTCCGATCCCAATTCCCAAGTTTCAACCTCCGTTATTCTTTCCCCTACCCCTCTTTTATAATAAAACTCACTAAAAGGGCCAGCCCTCACTTAAGCTATTGGGCCTGGACCCCTATTATTGGAAAACATTAAAATACTTAATAAGACTCTAATTATTTGTAGTACTCGGGTCCCTATCAAAATAATTGATGATGGTGTTTTGGAGGAATTGCACCCCATTATTCATTTTCATTTTTCAGAAGGTTGTGTGTTTCGTGGGTGCAACAGTTAGTGTTAAACTAGTTTTACATAGTTAATTGACTCTATATTTCATGCTACTGAACCGAACATGGTTGGGGTTGGTCTGAAACATGATCTGTAATGGTGATTAGAGATTTCATATGGTATCAGAGCATATTGCTCAAAACCCAGTCTTTCATGAAAGAACTAAGCATACAAGTGCCACTTCCAATCACATTATTATGTGATAACAAGGCTGCAGAACATATTGCTCAAACCCAGTCTTTCATGAAAGAACTAAGCATTTGAATGTGGATTGTCATTATGTTAGAGAAAAACAACAAGAAGGCTTTCTATCAACCCAACATGTGAGATCAAGTTTGCAACTTGCTGATATTATGACAAAACCACTGGGTGCTGAACAACATATGACTTTATCATTCAAGCTTGGTCTGAAGTGTTTCCCCTCCATTCCAGCTTGAGGGGGGAATGAAGAATATCTAACTAACATATATGACGTATCACAGTTTGTTAGATTTTAGTTGATTAGTTAGCTTACTAACAACTACTAGAAACTTCTCACTTGTATGTATAAATATTCATCTGACCGATCAGTTGTATTCACCCATCAATAATACAATTCAATTTCCTCATTTCTATGTCTTCTTCTCCAAGCTTCTTCCATCTCTATTCTTCTGCAATTATTTCCGCATCTATTGTATAAGCTTTCACCATTACTGTTATTCTGAAACATGATCTGTAATGGTGATTAGAGATTTCATAGTTGGGGTGGTGATGGCGCCAATATGACAGCAATGCAAAACAAAAGTAGTTTTTTTTCTGTGAACAACCTATTATTCATATCGTTGCATAGTATATAACTGCCTTGTTCTGTCCATATGCTCATTCTCACTCTTGATTTCTTCCTAATTACAAACATACCATTCTTTTTTGTTACTGCATTTAATTTTTTTAATAAATATTTTGTTTATTATATAAGTTTGTGATGGTTGTTATAATAGAGTTTCACCATATAATTTTTAAATTTATCTTTTCTTGCTCTGGAAATTCAGGTGTTAGGATCCCAAACATCACAATTTTGTTACCTGTGGAGCAGTCACAGTTTCAGACACCCACTGAAGAGAGAACGATTAAAATTGCGGGAAGGTTTGGATATTTTGCCGTTCAGATCTATATTTTGCATGCCTAATAATGAATTGGCACATTCATATGCTCATTAAGGGCAAATTGGGCATGAAGAATAAATGAATATTGAATGTGATTAGGGGACAGGTGAGACCATTAGATTGAAATTGAACGAAAGAGTATTTTATCAAGGATGTTTATAATTGGACTAAAACTTTATGGTTTGATCTAGTTTGGTTTGGTTTGGTCTATGTGTATTTTGTAACTATCAAAGTCTAATATGTTTAAGTCTAGTTTGGTCTGACCTGGTCTGATTTGTTTAAATTTGGTTTTGGGATTTAACTTAGTTCAAGTAAAGACATCCTAAAACACATAGACCATTGATTTGAAATTGCAAAGGAGTAATTGGCGGAGTATTACAAAGTTTTTAATTGGACTGAATTTTTTGGTCTGTTTAAGGGTGTTTTCTTTTGGATTGAAATTTTGTTGGTCTGGTCTGAAGTGGTCTGGTCTGAAGTGGTCTGGTCTGGTCTGAATTGATGTGGTCTGGTCTGGTCTGAAGTGGTCTGGTCTGGTCTGATAAATGTCTGATCTATGTGTATTTTATAACTATGAAAGTCTGGTCTGGGACTGAAAACGCTCTAAAAGAAAACATCCTAAGTCTGGTCTGTTGGGATTGAAATCAATCCTTAAAAACATTTTAAAACACATAAACTAGCCATGAAAATGAATCAAGCCATTGTGGGCCACTTGTCAAAGCTCAACTCCTGTTAGCCAAATTCAAACTCGGACCAAGTTGGAGCTGGCTTGTTTAAGAAATCAATCCAAGTGGTTGCTTATTGTACTCAGCTCCCTAAACGTGCTCATGGGCCATGATTTATACTCCCACCGTTCCATTTTACATGTCCTACTTTCCTTTTCGGATAGTCTCAAAATAAGTGTCTCCTTTCTTTTTTTTGCCCTGCACCATTTCACTTTATTATACGCAAACCTCAACCACAACTTTTACTTTCTCAACCACTTTATTAATAATCGTGTCAAGTCAAAGTGAGACACATAAAATGGGACGTAGGTAGTATATACTCCCTCAGTCCCATTTTGTAAGATACTTTTCATATTCACTTGATCAACACAAATTACTCTTAATCTCTCTTACTTTATGTGAAAAATAATTAAAACATCCCAAACTTTGAAGGGATGTGAGGTCAAACTTACATACTACGTATGTAATTTAAATACCCCAAACTTTACATAAAAAGATATTTTAGCACCATTGTTATATAGAGTATTATTTTTCTTTCAAAATGTTAATTTTTGGTGTTAATTTTATAATTTAAAATATTTTAGCATTCATGGAGATACCAACCCTTACCATTTTAAACTTCCATTGTAAAGTAAATAATATTCAACCTTGCTATAGGTATCCCAATTGGTACCCCAATTTGTACCTCAACCCATTTTTGTGGCTCACAAAAGCCCACATCAATAAATGAATTGCCCCACTTTAATGAGGTGCTTTTGTGAGCCACAAAAATAGGGTGGGGGTACAAATTGGGGGTACCAGTTGGGGTACCTTTAGCATTTTTCAATAATATTACACTTGCTCTATATAATTGCAACATTTTTAATTTGCTATTTTAAATTATGCAATGAACATTATAAATTTACATTTTTGAAAGAAATAATATATGATCATAGTGCTAAAATAATTTTTTATATAAAGTTTGAAGTATTTAAATTACATATGAAAGTTTGGGGTGTTTATTCCACACACCTTCAAAGTTTAAGGTACTCTAAATAAGTTTCCCCTTACTTTATATTTCAAATTTTTATCAAATTTGATTTTGATTTTTGCGACTTTGTAAAGCTTTTAATATAATTTTTGAATATGTATCCTTTTTTTTTTCTAAAAGTAATTTGAGTGCGGACAAGGATCTGTTTGTTTTATCGTCTGTCAAACATCGTAAACCATAAAGTGTTTTACAACTCGGGATGAAGGGAGTAATATTCATAACTTAATATATAATCCCTCCATCCCGAAATGAAGTCACCTTTCCTTTTTGGGATGTCCCAAAAGAAAGTTCCCACTTCAACTTCTCTCTAAACTTGGTAAGATTTTGTTTTTCATTAACTCTTTTACCCTTACATCACTTCATTGAATTGATGTGTGTTACCCCCATTTCACTCTTCACTACCCCTCTATTATACCCATTTGGGTACTACACCTCTTAATTATCCTAGGTTTTTTTTTTTGAAAAGCCAACTTTATTTCCTATTCTACCTGAAATCCTGTGAAATCAAACTAGGAACTTCATTTCGGAACAGAGTGAGTATAAATTAATGTGTATATATAATATACTCCGTACATGTATAATAGTAAAGGCAAAGGGCAGTCTATACGACTGCACTATGGCATCCCCACAATCGTGTGTATCCAAGAATTTCTATCATACACATTTCACAAATAATTCATTACATTATGAAAACAATATTACAAAATAATTAAAAAATAGTTCTATGTCTATAAGTAACAACTCTTATTAGAAAAATATTAGGGCGTAACTTACTTTTCATTTCGTCTAAAAAATCTTTCAGAAATATTTTTTATTGCAGTCTCAAAATGTTTTGAAAAGTTAATTTCTAACAAGCCACGAGCCATTTTTTAAACTTTTAAGCTTGCTTAAGCTACTAAAATTATTTTGAGTTAGGATCGCTTTGTTGCACCCTTTGTAGCAATAGTAGTAACCGTAATTAGAATATGTCATCAGAAACTTGAGAATGTTGTGAAATCTATTTCCAGGATAAGCCAAGAAGTCGCTGCACTATTGAGGAGGCTTGGGCTACCTTACCTAGGGAGTGGATCACTTGGTAAAATTCAAATTAAGGGCATTTCTTTGAGAAAGTGGTTGCAGCCCAAGGTTGAATTCCCTTTCAGTGGGGAACCAACAAGTCTGAGCTTCTCTGAGACTCGTCTGGGAAAAGGAATAACCCATCAACAACGTAAAATTCGTACTGGCGATCTATCTGTACCGTAGAAAGTTGAAGAGGAAAATAATGTCTCAACGGAAAATAAATTCCCAGCTGAAATTGCCTGCCATGAATCTCACAATTGCTGATTGAAGTCTGGACAGTGTCTCGCTGTACTCTAAGGCGATTTAACTGGGAAATCACTCGAATCTAAATGGATTCTATGTTGTATGATTTACTTTTAATATGAGTATCAGAGTATGGAATGTAACAAGTGTATAGTGTGGTAGACTGGTCATGATTGTTGAATGTAATGTATTCTCTTTGTAAAAATATAAATGGAAAACTGTAAAAGTGAATTGCACTGTCAAAATACTTAATTTGTCATTTTAGTCAGTATTCTCCTGTTTTTTGTCAAAATAATGCAAAAAGGTTATTACAAATTGTTCACGGCTTGGTGCGCACAAGGAGTAATCAGGATCAGGGCCGGTCCTGGAACATTAGAGGCCCGGTTCAGAATTAGGTAGGAGGCCTTATTTTGCTAACATCTGCACGAATCCATTGAATGATCTTTTGCCACCATATTTTTATTATAATTGACAAATCATTACTACCTTCGTCCCTTAAAACTTTGTCAAAGTTGACCGGCACGGATAATAATAAAGTAAAAACTGTGTGGTTGAGGTTTGTGCAGAGGAGAGAGAAATAACAGAAACCACAAAATATTTTATTAAAAGGGAAAGTGACAGTTTTTTGGGACGTCGCAAAAAGGAAAGATGACAAAGTTTTATAGTTGAGTATAATGTTAGTTAAACAAAATTAAAATATACACAACTTTGTAGTTGATTTATTCCTCAAATATGTCTATTAAAAATGAGTGATCTATATCACTAAAGCCGAATAGTTTAATCAATATAAAAATTGAAAAAAGTGTATACCGTATGGAAGGTATGCAGATGATCCATATACTATATTTTTTTTATATTATTAGTGTATAATACTGAAAAAACAGTATTGAGAGTTCTTATGGGCCATTCATTTCGGGGTATAAATTTCTCAAATCTAGACCTAAAAATTGTAGAATGTGGAGATTTTACTTTGGGAGGCGTACCAAAAATTATTGGCCAATAAAGGGGAAGAGCAGATAAGTGAATCAAATCAACGAATAAAATAGAATATCTTACAAACTACTCCGTATAAGAAATCCTTAAGGCATCGACATCGAATTTCTGAAGAACTGGAGCGTTCTTCCGAAGAGTTGTTCCACTCTTCTCGAAATCCCTGTATATATGACTCCGTATTTAATTTTGTATCGTCATGTCCTTACATATGTACTGAAAATTGGGGCCCTTCCTTCGGCGGAGGCCCTGTGCGGCAGCACCGGTTGCACTCCCTTTGGGCCGGCCCTGATCAGGATGAAACTCTTACACTGGTGTTGTCAATAGTGATGGACTCAACCTGTTCCGGGCCTGGGTCGGGCCTAGGCCTGGTCGGGCCCAAAAGAAATTTTGTGAGGCCCAGGACCGACCTGGAAGTAGACCGGTGCTGGCCCGGGCCCGGGCCGGGTCGGGTCCGATTATATTTTTTTTGTTTTCTTGATTATTTTTATCCCCTACCCCCATCCCACAAACCCATCTGAAAGACCCATTCCAGCCCATTTAAACCCAGCCCAAAGCCCCAAACCAACACAAAAAAAAAATTGAAAGGCCCGAACCGGGCCCGGAATCGGTATCCGGTTCCCGAGCCGGGCCCGCACAGTACCGGGTTGGGCCGGTTCCCGGGCCGGGTGGCCTGAACCGGGTCCAAGCCTATGTCAAGGTTTAAACTTGAGACCTAACACCATTGCCTTACTTTGCCTCAACTTTGCCTCTTTGAAGTTTGAACAACCTATGTGGCTCCCTCACCTAATCCTAAAGGTTGGTTTGCAACTGCTTCTAAAAAAACACTTCTCAGCTTTTGGCTTTAAAAAAGCACTTATTTTCCCAAACACTACAATTTTTATTTTTCTCGGCTTCCGCGTCAAAAGTGCTTTTACATTTTCTATTACACAAAAAGCACTTATTTTACCAAACACTACCCACTTTTACTTTTCAAAATCACTTTTTTCTCAAACACTATCAACTTTTATTTAATCACTTCTCTCCATTTCATTAAAAAAAGCACTTTTTTAAAAGCAGAAGCTGTTGCAAACAGACCCTAAGTCAGAGGCTTGCAAAAAACATATTGACTATTTGGATTTCTTTTTTCTTTAACTGCACCCACTTTGTGAAAAACATATTTAACTTTTGGGAGAGTTTTTGAAATAGGAGTGGGCAGATATTGAAATTTCAAAATAGAAGTGTTATGTTGTTTTTTCAAAGTATGAGTAAAATAACAGTATTTTACGGTCATTTCGGATTTATCATCGTCAAAATAGTTGCAGTACTAGATATAAATATTGCAGTATTTATTGACATTTATGCCAGAAATTTTCAATTATGACGGTAATGACTCTTATTTCAGGAAGCAAAACATAACAATTTTAATCAAAATCTATTTACTCATATTCAAGACAATTTTCCTTAGTTTTTGTTCTTGTCACACCCTCTTCCATTGTCGACGTTGGTAGATATATTTTATGGCAAAAATTGAATGGGTATGGTGGAATTTAGATTTTATTGGTTTAGGTTTTCTCTTTCTAAATGTATTGGTTTGGAATTAGATGATATTAGTCCGGGACTCGGGTTGGGTCGGGTCGGGGCCGGGCCTAGGCCTTGGCGGGCCGCCGGTTCTGAATAGGTGGGCCTGGGACCGGCCCGGGTAGCCACCGGGTTTGGTCCGGGCCGGACCGGGCCTCAGGTCAATTTTTTTCCTTTCCTAATTAACCCCCCACCCCCAACCCCCAAACCACACCAAATGGCCCAAAATACCCAGTCCAGCCCGATACAGTTCACGGATACGAGTATTGAAAGTATCGGTTCACGGATACGAGTATTGAAAGTATCAATATTTTTAAAAATAAGCCTGATACTTTTATTAAATTACAGATACAAACCCAATACGTACAAGACGCGTATCGGCGAGTGTCAGTACCAGATACGTATCAGATACACGGATACAACATCAGGGTGAAATATCGGTGCACCATAGACTGCGATTGTTGATACAACTTAAACTAAAAGGTATTAATAAGGGAAAAATAATTAAAATACCTCAAACTTTGATTGGGTGTGAGGTAAGCACTCCAAACTTGCATATGTAATTTAAGTACCCCGAACTTTATATAATAAGTTATTTTAGCACCATGGTCATATATTATTTCTTTAAAAAATTGTAAATTTTGGTGTTAATATCATAATTTAAAATATTTTAGCATTCATGAAGTTACAATCAACATTCTAAACTTCCATTATAAAATAAATACTATCCTCACTCTATATAATTGCATAATTTTAATTTGCTATTTTAAATTATGCAATTAACACTATAAATTTACATTTTTGAAACAAATAATATATGACCATGGTGCTAAAATAAATGTTTATATAAGGCTTTAAGTATTTAAATTATAAATGAAAGTTTAGAGTGTTTATCTCACACTCAAAGTTTGAGTTATTTTAATTATTTTTACCAAATTGAACAACATCGTTTCTGTAAGTTTTTTTAAAGAATCGTTTCTGCAAGTTAAAATGGAAAATGGAAACTAATAATCCAACATTGTAGCGGTCTTCTGCAATGGTTTCACTTTTTCGTTATTCATGAATAATACAACATTTGTCCCTCATCTTCATTCACTGATCCCTGACCGGTTGATGACCTGTTATTCCAAGTTATTTTCTTATCTTTGCAAATCGTTATACCATAAATCTCACATTTCATAAAGTTAATATTTTGCAAAAATAAGAAAATAATTTGGAATAGTAAGTCATTAACCGCGCAGGTACCAGCGAATGAAGATGGGGTGAAAGGTTGGATTATTCTTGAATAACGAAAATATGAGACTATTATAAAAAGACTGCTAAAAAGTTGCATTATTAGTTTCCATTTTCCCAAGTTAAAAAAAGAGAAAGCATTACTGTAAAACGACATCATATTTACACTAAACGACACCCAGTTAAAGTAATTTGAATATTTTTTTTTTGAAAGGGCAATTTGAATAAATTTAAGAGATTCAATTTATTTACATTAACGGTCCTAGGTTAATGACTTTCAATTCTCTGTCCAAAAATCGAAGAGGCCGAGGAGGTAACTGAGATTCCGCCGCCGGTGCACTTGTTTCTGTCGCTTGAAGCCTCGATGCTTGGAACTATGGAAGAGGCTGGGACACTGGGACTTGACCACTGGAAGCCAGTAAAATTGAAGATCTGCCGCCTGCGCATTTGTTGAAGAATTTGATCGGATTGAAGATCTGCCGCCTGTGCATCAAAGCGGAGAACTTGAGAAGCGGTGAGCTTCAAGTTTGTGAGAAGGTAATTTCTACTTTTCTTCTAGTAGTTTACCCAATTCAATAATTGAATGTGTGAATTGTTATTCGTAAGATTACATACCAGAACTTGGACATATCACATATACTCATTTATCCTTTGAGAACAAGTGTGGGATGACAGAACTAAAAAAAATTGGAAAAGAATCCTTAAACAGGACTAATCTTGGTAAAGGATTGTTTAACTACTTTTATTTCCTTTTAAAGACCGAATGAATTGTATTTTAAAACAAAACTAGGTATTCACACCGTCCCATATTAATCTTCTCAGTTATTTTTTTTTAAGTCCCAAAAATAAATCTTGTTCCTTTTAGGGAATAATAATAATAATTTGTGTGGTTATTAGTTTTAACCTTTTTTACTCGATCACAAGTCACAATTGTACGTTTTTATTTTATTAATAGGAGTGCGGATTCAAAGTAGGATTTATTTTGGCGGAACTACTCAACTGCGGAAGTAGTACCTTTCTTCTGCACATGACTCTGTTTTATCCGCATTTGAAGGGAGAACCTTTAAAATCAATTTAGACACTTTATCCACTCTGATTTAACCTGATGTGTAATAGTTAAGATAAGGGTAAATTAATATTCTAGCTATATTGATTGAATTTTCAAAAGATAACTGTTTTATTTTCTTCTCATACAATTTTTCTTTTTTGCACTAAAATATACGGAGTAATTTCATTTTTTTTTTTGTAATTCTAACAATAAACTTTTAGGGCCTGTTTACTAACATAGATATTTTCCTGTTTTCTACTTCTGTTTTTCGTTCTCCAATTTTCTGTTTTTATTTTTCAGTTTTTCTATCTCCAATTTTCTGTTTCTATTTTTTAGTTTTCCATTTTCAAATTTGAAAACATGTTCATCAATTTTTTCACACAGTTCTCCAATTCCACACCCTTGACCCATACCTCTACCCTTACCACGATCTTACACTCTACCCATGCTCCACCACAACCCTTCATACCCACCCATACCTACTCGTAGGGGTCAAAGTAGGGAAGTTATGGGTGGGGGTGGGGTAAGGGGTATGGTCGGGGTGGGGTGGTAAGGTCTAGGGGTTGGGGGTTGGGTGGGGGGTAGTGGGTGGGTTAGGGTCGTGGTTAGGGTTAAGGGTGGGGTAGTGGGTAGGGTTGGGGTAAGGTAGGGGTAGGGTAGGGAGTTGGGATAGGATGGCGGTAGGGTGGGGTCGAGACCAGGGTGGGGCTGGGGTAGGGTGGGGGTAGTGGGTAGGGTTTGGGGTTGGGGTAAGGTAGGGGTAGGGTAGGGAGTTGGGATAGGATGGCGGTAGACGGGACCAGGGTGGGGCCGGGGTAGGGAAGGGGTGGGGGGGGGGTAGGATGGCGGTAAGGGTAAGGGTGGGGGTAGTGGGTAGGGTTTGGAGTTGGGGTAAGGTAGGGGTAGGGTAGGGAGTTGGGATAGGATGGCGGTAAGGTGGGCCCGGGATCCGGGTGGGGCTGAGGTAGGGTAGGGTGGGGGTGGGGGTAGGATGGCGGTGGGGTGGGGCCGAGGTAGGAGGCATGTGGTAAGGGGTAAGGTAGGGGTAAGTGGTAATATACGAGGGGTGGGGGTAGGGTAGGGTGGGTCGGGGTGGGGTCGAGGTGGTAGGGGGTGGCGGTAGGGTAGGGTGGATCGAGGTGGGGTCGAGGTGGTAGGGGGTGGCGGTAGGGTAGGGTGGATCGGGGTGGGGCCGAGGTTGGGGCATGTGGTGGGGGTGGGGTAAGGTCATTATAGGGAAAAATGGGTACGCGGGGTGGGGGTTGGGTGGGTAGGGTAGGGGTAAGGGGTAAGGTACGAGGATGGAGGTACCGGAATGGAATCGACATCGGAGCGGGACCGGACTCACCACTAGGTGTAAGTATGCAAATTCATTGCAAAGGCACTGTAGCATCTGCGTTTTCCAAATTTAGAAAACTAGTAAAAGTCACTTCTCCAAATCATTAAGGAAAAGAGAGACATGTTTCATTTTTTCCGTTTTGGAAAACGATTTTGTAAACACGTTTTTCTTTTTTCCTTTCTCCAGTTTTCCAGGAATTTCTTTGGTAAACACGTTTCCTGTTTTCTGTTTTCCAGTTTTCCAGTTTTCTGGAAAACTGGAAAATATTTGTGTTAGTAAACAGGCCCTTAATTTTTCATGTTAAGTAGTGTAATAATCAAAACAAGATAGATTATAAATATGTTTTCCCTTATTCTATAGATTCAACTAATTCAACTCAGATAGAATTTCAGAAACATATGCAGATCCTGCTCTTACTTGAGAGATCCCATCTATATGAGACTATATCCCATATATGATCATGAGATAGGTCAAAATACTACATACATACATAAAAGTTGAAGATTTCATTACTTCTCTATGTTGGGTATCTGCAATGTACAACTCTTGTTTTACCAAGAGGAAAAATCATACAAGGATGACTAAATCAGAAATAGGTGAAAAAATGTGATGAGATCTGAATATCTGATGAGCCTTCAATGTAATGAAGTGTTGCTTTTGTTGCTGAGCTGAGATGTGAGATGGATGAAAGTATCTTCCTTGCAGGGAATTGTGAGACCTCCCATGGGATGGTCAAACCCAAACTCTTCTTCTGCCCTCTTAAGCAAGCTCTGAAATGAAGGGTGGTTCAGGTATGTTATGGGCACCACATATCTCTTCTTCTCAGTCTCTCCAACATAGATTGCAAAATGACCCTTTGGAACATCTGAGTGGTTTCTTGATCTAAGTGGGTAAAGAGTGCGAAATTGTTTGGCATTCATAATAGCTGTGAGCATTCTGATAGCCATATATATTATCTGTTCTTAGTTTTTGTTTGGAATGGAAGTTTGAGCTGAGCTCTTTTGAGTTTTGAGAGTGGAGTGTTTGTTGGATGTTGGAATGGATCTGGGAGTTGGAAAGAAAGTGTTGTTGGGATTTATTTATAGGGGGTTGGCTGATGGGTTTCCACTTTCTTCTTGCCAGTTAAGGTATGCTGGTGTGATTAGAAAATGGGGCCAGCTTTATGGGACTCTCACATGGCTTAGCTCAGATCAAAATCAGATGTATTAATTAGTTAAAAGTGGCACCCTTTTTTCTAAGTGGAAAAACATTATCTTTCTCTTTTTATAGTTGTCTGCATGGGTTGGCTTCACTGGATGTGTACCTGCAGTTTTCAGGGATGAGTGTGAGAACAATAATAATGCTTAAACATTTGAAGTTTGAAAAATGTATCCAACTTTAGATCACTTTTTGATAAGCAAGCCTGTCCAACCAAGCTATTTTCTTAAAAACAAGCAAAAACAAAAAGGAGAAGATAAATTATTTGTATAAATTGTATTCCGTATCAAAATGAAATAATGGTGTTTTTTCAGGAATTCAGGTGTGGAAAATACATCCATGCACTAATATGAAATATTTTGGTAAGGTATCAGTACATAACTGTCAAAATTATGAATATTACCAAATGCCATATGTACTTTGGTGTACTAAAATTTTAATAACCAATATAATGCCGGTCATTTTAATAACCAATAATCAAACTTCGTACGAGTATTTTAATGTCATTTTATTATACGTACTCCGTATAATAAATTTCATATTTAGAGCTTGTTTGGTGATCCTTTTTTTCGGCTTATCAGGTTTATCAGCTAGCTTTTTCACCAAACACGTAATTTTTGATTTGACGCGTTGAATTGTGTAATAAGCAGAAAAAGTAAGATTGGAGTTACTTTTCTGGTTGCATTGGGTGTAGTTACTGTAGAAGATCATTTTAGCTATTTTTTCATATAATTTTTTATTTTATTTATTAATAAAAAATATTTTTAATATAATTTTTTCATGAATCAACAGAATCAGCCAATACAGTCACATCAGCCAGAACTTCATAAATTTCAGCAGAATTAGCCAATACAACCAATTTTAGTGTTATCAAACGGTTTCTTAGAGTGATACCCAGTACGAGTATTATAATTTTATAACCGGTCATTTAATGTCAGCTTTTTCTGGGAGTAAAATTTATATTTAGAGTGATACGACGTTCCAGCTATTAGGCCCGTGATCTTCTTTCACGCGTTTCTTCTTATGCATTTGTGGCATATTTGGAGCCACTTAATTCATAAACTATGGACTAAATAAATACTATAAATTGATATACCATGGACTCTGAGAAGGTGAATTGACCATCCAGTTCCATGGAGTTATAGATTGTGATTTTATCTTGTATATGCCTTTTCAAATTAATTTTTCGATGTGTATAAGGAACCACAAGTCCACACAACATTAGATTGTTTTTATTTCTTAATTGTAATTATGTCATGAATATGTGTGCTTAACTCCGTAACAAGTTTGGTACAGATTAAGTATTCCGTGCCAAAGCACTTAATTGATATGTCAACATTTCGTCTAATCTATCATTTGTGTCAAGCCGGTTCTAAATCAGTTTGACAATGAGTTTTATTAAAGATTCCATGCTAAAACATGTGCCAATAATGATATCTCTAAAATTACTTCCTTCATTCTATTTTAATTGCAATGATCCGATTTTCACAAACCCACAAGTTTGACTATTAATATACTCCGTATTTCATTACTTATTAGTAAAAAAATAAAAAATTAGAATTTAAAATTTAAATTGAGAAGAATTTAAAAGAATTTTTCAAAAATTTAATTTATAATGCATTAATAAATAAAATGTAGCCAAAATAGAGCATGTAAATAATATAAAATTCATCAAAGTAAAAAGGTTAGTGTATATAAAGTTGACAAGCATACAAAACTAAGTAGTATGGAGTATGATAGAGAGCAATTAACCATTTTTTAGATACATCCAAGCACTATTACATTCCTAATGGGAAAAAATTGTTTTGTATGTGAACAACTATTTACAAGCAAAAAGAGTCCGCTATGTGTATAGGGTGTGTCCAAAAAAGTGCTTATAAGAATTAAGCATAGTTAATTCCTAATTGTGTCGCCTAGCTTTACAACTACACATCCTAAATATGTACTTGTGGCTTATTTGTTACATGAAATAGATAATTTTTCCATTTTCCTTATTTGGTTGTCACAAAACATCTTCAATTTACCTTCCAAGTAACAAATAATGTTTAATCTTAATCACTCTATATAAATCTTAAATACACCGTTTTTATTTTCTTATTTCACGTGTTAGTCAACTTTGACTAATTTATGTGACGTGGTAGCAGATTTATATTTCTTGATTTTTGGTGAAATAATAGTGTAGTGACACGTAAAAAAGAAATAAAAACTATAAATGTAAATTTTTAAGTGACATTTTTTTCTAGACCCTTAAAACCAGGGAAGTTTGCATAACATTTAAGGAAATGGGGAAGTGATACTTTTTGGTGTATGCTTTCTGCAATGCTTAGGTTCCCGTGTAACATGGCACGAGACATTGAGTTTAGACTGTGACTACACTCTTAAGTCTCAATGCCCTTTCCTTATCTTTCTTCTCACGGGCACATGCCCTTCCAAGTGCATATCCATGTGCTAATCATACGCCACCTTCAATTAGTTTTCCATCCCTATTCAATCTTAGCATGCTTTCTTTTGGATGGTAATTTACTGATTTGGTTTGGTCTGGTATGAAATTTGGTCTAGAAAATGGTTGATCTCTAATTCTCTGTGTATTTTATAAATGTTCAAGTCTGGTCTGGTCTGGTCTGGTCTGATCTGATCTATTTATGTCTGTCTGGTATGTTTAAATCTGATATAGTCTGATCTGGTTTGATTTATAACTAAAAACTGTTCAAAAGAAAACATTCTTAATTATTTACCCTTTTCATAAGGACCGACATTAGTTTTTCATAAAAATAATATGAAAAAATAGACTAGTTTTCATATGGACCAACATTATTTTTTCATAAAAATTGACGAGTATTCTTTGGCAGTACTTCAAAGGGAAAGGCACAAAAGCATTATCTTATTAAGATGATAAAAATGTATGACTCGGATAGAAAATATACCAACAAGACAATTCTTAGAAAAGTCAGAAATATAATTATGGAATAGATCTTTGTCATTTTTAGTCCTTCGAATATGGTGTCTTGACACTTTTTATAATCAATTTTTATTTTTTTTCAATTTTAGTCCTTCACTTTTGTGATATAAATATAAACACTTTCAGTCCTCAACTTCAAAGTTTCTCACATTTAGCTCCCTGAGTATTATTAAATTGACATTTTTATCCTTCCACTTTGATTCTTACACAATAAGTGGAAACTAAAAATGTCATTATTATAATAGTTGAAGGATAAAAGTGTCACTTTTATGAAAGTCGGAGGATTAAATGTAGAAATTTTCAAAGACAAGTATCAAAAGTGTCTTTAGCACAATACTCTAGGACTAAAAGTGGAACAAAATAAATTCAAGTACCAAAATTGTCAATGATGACATAATAGTCGGAGGATTGAAAGTGTAAAAACTCTTATGAAATATATAAAAAGAAAATTAAAAATCACATTTTGAAACAAGAGTAGATCTAAAAGCAAAAAGAAAACGATTGTAGTTGTTTCATAAAAGCTACTCCATACTACTTAAAGGAGTATTTGTTTAATTTAATTAGTTCGCTTTGGTATAGCAACATATTGTTACTATTTAGTGCTAAAAGTTGCATAATTTATCTCGCAAACTACTCAATAGAACTTCTTAAAAAGATCTCCATTTAAAAAAATCCTAAACCGAAATAACTTTTAGATCAAATTAGACTACTAGACATAAATAAATAATTTAATCCGAAAGATTATTTATTCCATGACCAGAATTAAATAAGGGGGCTCTATATGTAGCTCGGAAGTGTTGAACAAAATACGTTTTTTACATTTGGTTTTCGAGGGACTCATTCAACACTTATTTGAATCATTGTTTAGAAGACAATAATCAAAGATTTTATTTCAGATGCTTGGGAGTTGGGATAGTAATATACAAGAGAGATAGAAAATGAGACAAGAATACACATACTTAAACACCACACCCGGGGTCGGAGCATGGACACTAAGTTGGACTATGTAATTTTTGAGAAAAAAATTACAGAGAATTTTTTACTTTGAGAATCAAGGAATTTTTTAAATATGGGATGGACCAGGGCCTAGACACCCCCCCCCCCCCCCCCCGCTCCGCCCCTGACCACACCAGACAAGATCAGGCCTCATCGAACTTAATTAATACTATCCTACATAACACTACTGAATTAGAAGTAAATAAAGCAGTGCGAACTAATGACATGTTTGGATCTACTTCTTGAAATTGTTTATACTCCTTTAGATGACAGAATCATACATTGAAGTGTTTGGATGAAGTGCAGAAGTACTCTTGAGTGCTTCGAATTGCTTGTAGAAGCAGTTTTCCAGAAATTGGAGAGTTCAGCTATTGATAACTGATTCTACTTTAGCTTTAAAAAATAAGTAGAATCACAATCAATTCTAAGCCCCCTAAGTCATACCTCTAATATCGTGTTTTACTTAATACAATATTTTTATGTTTTAACGAGGCTATAAAACATGAGCGGAAAATCACGAGTTTAGTTTTTTTCCACTATGAATCTATGAGGCTGTCCGCAATCCTTAGTGTGAAAAATCAGATTTGAGGTTTTCACTCCTAAAATCACTCTAATTAACCCTTGTATTTGAAGGTCTCAAAATGGATAAAGGGCAGCCAATGGGGGTGGATTTGGCACCCCATATTCACTCCTGAAACAAAGAAGCTGGAAGAATAAAAGGGTGGCAGCTGCGGTAAAGTGGAGATAGCCAGATAGGGTGTAGACCCCAACAAAAAAAGAAAATTTCCCTTTTACTAAAATTGTTATAAGTTTTTTATTTGTACTTCAAATTTTACAAAAAAATATGTCAAAATTCATAACTTTTTTTTATCTTCCATATGACACCAATATC